CCAGGACCACACCCCTAAATGCATTGAAGCAACTGCCATGTGATTGGTTGATTAGATAATTGCATTAATGAGAAATTGAACAGGTGTTCCTAATAATTCTTTAGGTGAGTGTATAAAGCACTTAATGCAAGCAATTAACGCTTTCCATTCAATGTTCACCTAATCAACATTGTATAAAAACTGACGCGGCACAAATCCGTACACCAGCTTAATGATTACCATTGCAGTGATATTAAACTGTTTAAATCGCGTATGAAAAGTAATCAGACAGTCGAATTTCGTAGCTTTGTAAAAACTATTACGAAGGTAGGCGCTGCCACGAAGGCACATGGTTCGCATTTCTTCGGTGCAGTTCCTGGTGCTAAGCTGCGGTGGGCGGTGACAAACCAGTTACTTAAAGAGCCAGTTAATCGCGGCTGCAGTTCCTATTTTGGCATTTTATTGCGTGGAGACAGCGTCAAGTCCATAGCTGCGCCTTCAAACTACGACCACCTGAGCCACAAGGAGTAGCATATGCCGCACGGATTTGAGGATATATTAGGAAGTGCGGCTGACATGACATCTCGTATTTGAGGACCTAAATCCGTAGTACACAGCGATCATCGGCAAGAGGTAATTGGCTCTTGTGTTCCGCCTAACTCGCCGAAATCGCTGATCACTGTTGTGTGCAAATGGACTAAATATACACTTATTTGCTGATCGGGGTGACTTTGACATTGAGATGTCATAAATGGAAATGTATATGTTAAAATATGCCCGTCTTCATTTTCACTTCATTGTGCTTCTGATTTCAGACTTTTTTTTCCAATCAGCGTGATTAGGTTTATAATGATATGTAATAGTTTACAAGGTGCTGACTGGAATTTTCAGAACGTGTACTGTACGTGTTTAAGCGCTACTACTTTTCTGAATAGTACGTGTGAACATGCGCGCGAATTTACATTAAAAATACACCGTACGGGCAAAACACCGGTCGGAAAAGGTCAATTACTAACCATTGTCGAATGACATACCTGTACATATGCCAATAATGGAGCTAATGGGCTTACATTAAATTACCAAAAGTGAACCGTTGTTGTAAACTGAACTTGGCAGCACCCGAGTAAGAAAGTGTCCAAGTCGTCTTTATAGCAATCATATTTATTGTTATAAAACCCAAAATAAAACTGAAATACTTTAGCTGTTTCTTAACGTATTCCAGATATGATTGTCAGTATCTACTGTTGTGTTCATTTTTTTTTTGGTTTCCCAGAAATGTGACAGGAAGCTTATTGAGGTCTTGAGGGTCCTCCCCAAACACACGCTTACACCTCCGTTTAACTAGGGTTCCTAATCAGGTTGTCAGTAATATCACACATCAAGACCATAACTTTGACACTTAAGTGAGATGTGCTTCTGTTGCACAAGGGGACTGTTTTACAAAGGAGCAGAGCCCATCTTTTATGACATCCCCACGCATGACCATGTGCGACAGGTACTCGTTAATGCAAAGTTAATTCTGCCTAAATTCTTGATGTAGTTGATCATTTTTAATGACATTAACAGTTCTAGTGTAGAATGAAATTCAGTTGCTGGTAAACACTGTATACACTGCAGTTCTTCCTCTCTGCCAAAGCTTGAGTTTGATTTGTATACTCAGCTACAAAAACCATCTAGAAAGACACAAGTCATCCACTGTGCTGTGCACTTTCTCTTTCTTTCCTTATTCTCCGTCTTGCTGATACATGTGCTTTTTCTAAGCCGAAGATCTACTGAGTGAGCTTGTTTCGAGCTGCACTCTTATGCTTCAGAGCATGATTCTGCACATCAGGCTGTGACGAAAGCAGTGTTTTCCGGCCAGAGGGAGGTGTTTGGTCACTAAAGTTTTGGTGTTTTGCTCAATAAAGGAACTCCAGCAATGCAGGGGTGATAGTATTGGCCTATTTGGTTTAACAGAAAAAATGTGTAGTTTGCACAGTTTGCACCATGCAATAAAAATTCTTGTTGATAAATGAAAGTGAATTAGAATGAGATCAGACAGAAAATAAATGACAGGAAAGTGAACTTTAGATGTATTCCAGCAGAAATATTTAACATATAATAGTGTTTGCACAAAAAATATGCCAACCTTCTGTTGCCTGCACTGTCCTGTTCTTAAATGCTTGTTAAATATTTAGCTTTGCATCTTAAAGCCATAAATGTTCTTTAAGCGGCTGGCGGGTGGCTTAGCAGGCCAAGTCTTTGTGTATGTGATCAGAAGATCACCGGTTCAAGCCTCAGCAGACCTGCTGCTTGTTGTTCCAGGAGCGCCGCACGTTGTCTGATCCTGCACTGTGACCCCCCCCCCCCCCCCCCAGGCTATGATGGGGGTCAGCAAAAATAGGAATTCCAATGTACATGCTCTTCTGCTAATAGTAAATAAACGCTTTACTAAAAGATCATTTGATAGAATAAAATAGAGATTTTGAAAATAGAAAGGCTCTTGAACTTCCCTACATCATATCTTTACTGTGCATTTTCGAGTTGGGGGGGGCTACTGCTTACTACGTCCCCTTTTTAAGCGATGGTGGATATTGCAGGTCAGACTATACCCGAGTCTCCTGTGTTTGCAGTGAGTGCTTGTGACTCAGATGAACGAGCCTGCGTGGATGAACTTGGCCCCCAGGTCCTGCTCCCAGCCAGGAAGCTTCTACAGCAGTTTTTTATTGCTGTAACTTCATATCCTGTTGTGTTGTGCATCCTTGTAAAGCAGCATGTGTATTTAAACAGCATCGCAAAAGATCTGAAATGTGTGGTTGTTGAACTGTTACTGTGTCACGCCGTTGCCCTGGGCTGATTCTTCTTCCTGTTCACTGCTGTTTTCTGTGTGGAATCCATTATTTCACCTTTGAGGGTTAGCATCTGTTAAGGTTGGGCTGTTTTCTGAATGCCCGGCCAAGACGGTGAGAAGGGCAGTAATCGTCGTGACCATTTCCTACACGCCCACCCTTATCTTTATTTACCCCTTGGCCCAAGAAGACTGTCACACTTCCTGCTTTGGCAAATCGCTCGACTCTGTGTAGCTGTGAGCCCGCCCCCCAGCTGTGGGGGTGTAGTGAGGGTTTGGCAGTTAATAGCATGGAGATTTTGAAAATCTTCATAAAATTTGGAAGATGCATGAAATGTATAGAAGAAGCAGGTGTGCAAAGAAGTGATGGACTAGTGCAGTGCTTGTCACTTGGAAATACGAATAAAAGGAATTGATATCTAGAAGCCTTCCAGATAACAGCACTTAGAGATATGTTTCTGCTGTCCTTGCTGTTGGCTTTTAATCAAACATCTACTTACAGTAATTAAGGCCATCTGTGCATGTGTGCATACATGCATGTAAATGTAAAGATCAATACATATATGCAGTATTTATATTTCTATTGCGATATTTCCAGGTGTTCAGCTGGGTGGGGGGGAGCTGAGTGCCTGCAGGAAGCAACATGAGCTCTGCCCCCCCCAACCACAACATGTCAAGACATGCAATGGAGCCTTTTTTTAAGGAAGCTTCAGTGTCGGATTTCTCAACCAGCCTTGCGGCCCAGTAATGTAACGCTGGGGGTCTGGTGTCTCCTGGTGTCCACCAGGCCCATTTCCTGTAGCCTTTTTTCTTCCCCTGGTGTCTTCATGCATCTACCTGGCTACATGCCTAGTGCTTGGTATCCACAGTACTGTCTCCCAGCTGGACTGAATGGGTCACCCAAGGAGGGGCCAGAGCCCCAGATCTTCCTCTGTGTAGCTACACTGTGATGCAGTCAGTGACAGGCAGCTGGCTGGCACACTATTCCAGTGAGACGGGTCAGAAACCTGTGATAGTCAGCGACAGGCAGCTGGCTTGCTGGGCTCAACTCCACCCTGGGCTCAACTCCGCAGAGAACCAGTAGATGCTGATTATTTTAAAGTCCCACTTCAGTATTAAAATATACACAGATAATTGTGTGTCTGGGTGGGTGGGCAGACAGAGCTGCCTTTGCTTTGGTATTATGATGGAATCAAAGGTCAAACAAATATTCTATCCATCTTCTAAATATTCATCCTGGTCAAGGTTGTTGGGGGCCCAGGACACAAGACTGGGGTACACCGTGGGTAAACAAAAATTACCATTAAAAACAGTGTGTGTGCGTGTGCGCGCACGTGTGTGTGTTTTTTTTCCTCCAGTATTTCAGACGCAAATTTGGATTAATTTGTTCTTTACTTGATGGCTGTACTGTTAATGTCATTTAAACATTCATTGCTTATATACATAATGTTGGAGTTTCCCTTCTGCATGCTGACCACTGGCGACGCTCTAAGACTACAAGGGAAGGTCCACCTCCTCTAAAATGTTACGAAAAATTTTGTCCAGTGTGCATTGTTGTATTTACATTTCTATTACAAAGAGTGTGCCAGCTTCATGGGTAATTCATTCCGAATCAGATATAATTTCTCACAGGTCGTCTAATGCGTTTTTTTTTTTTTTTTTCCTCCCTCATGCATGACATTCCTGTGGCAGCACGATCAAAAAGTTTAGCTTCACTACTTTCGGTGCGACAAGGCTAGACGTTTATTTGACATCCGTCATTTCCTGGTAAGCTCAGCGCTACTGATGTTAACTCTGCTAAATGCCACAGTTTTGCAAATTCTATCTTCCTGCATCTAGAACTCTGTTAACAAAGCGCATGGGTTTCAGTTATAGCTAATAATGTAGCGATTTGAATAGCGATTTTGTGAATTTTTTTTTTTAATTAATTTTTTTTTGCCCCCCTTTTCGCCTCTCAGCGAACCACACTCCTGGTATCTGCTCTGGCCGAAATGGTGGACATTGATGGTCGACACCCGTCCCATGCGGCGTTCGACTGCTTCCTCAAGGCCCAGACCTGCAAGGATGTTTTGGGGAGCTTCTCTACACTCTGTCGCCACCTGGAAATAGATGCCCAGGATCACTGGAGCTTCTACCCCAAACTGAAGGAAAGACTCAACTACTGGAAGGCCAAGGCACTGTGGGCCAAGCTAGACAAGCGGTCGGCACATGCAGACTATGGGCAGGGCCAAGTATGCAAGGGGAACAAGGTAAGACCTGTCACATCCTGCCTGCAAAGTCAGTGTCCGTAGCTGCATTGGCAGACCAAGGTTTAGTTTCCACCAACCAGTGGAGTACTTTGTGAACATGACACTTTATACTCAGCTGGTTGGTTAAAGCAAAATCAAAACTAGGCAGCTACCAGCAGAACAACCTAGATGGAGAGAGACCACAAAATCACGCGATAGCTCTGCCCTCTGGCCCCGCCCCTCACACGATAGCTCTGCCCTCTGGCCCCGCCCCTCACACGATAGCTCTGCCCTCTGGCCCCGCCCCACACGCGATGGTGCCGCCCTCTGGCCCCGCCCCACACACAATAACTCCGCCCTCTGGCCCCGCCCCACACGTGATGGCGCCGCCCTCTGGCCCCGGCCGGCAAACGTTAGCGTTGTTAAATTATGATTGATCCTTTTCCACCTAAAAAAATGATCACACTGCTAGTGAACGCATCTCCCCTTTCATGTTTTTCTTCATGCTAAAGAAATTGCAAGTGCCCGCTTGGTGCCGTGTGTGGGGGGGGGGCAATGGATGACCATATTGTTCATCCCAATCTTTTTAAATATATTGCATATAATTTTTATACTTTTAGACACTGCCCAAACCTAGTGTCCACCAGCTTGATGTGATTAATGTGTTCCAGTGCCTCGTTCTGGGTGCCGGTCCCTGTGGTCTGCGAACCGCCATTGAGCTGTCCCTGCTGGGGGCCAAGGTGGTCTTACTGGAGAAGAGGGAGACCTTCTCCCGCAACAACGTACTGCACCTGTGGCCGTACACCATCCACGACCTGCGTGGGCTCGCAGCCAAGAAGTTCTATGGCAGGTTCTGCTCCGGCTCCCTGGACCACATCAGTGAGTTTCAGGCCCAGTGCCAGCTCTGCGCCGTTTCTACTGCAGGAAACTCAGATCTCAAAAGATGTAAGAACTTGTTTCTCTAGGACAGTGGTTCTCAACCGTTTAATTTTTTATTTTTTTTTTTTACCAAGGAAACGATTAAGGCCCCACTGCACAGGTTATGTTATGGTGTCTGTTATGTGTTCTGCAATGATTGCCGATGTTGAATCTCTCGTGGTTCCCTGTGCCTGATCTTCCTCGCTCCCTCTCTCACTTTCCCTCTCTGCTTTCCCCATGTCTGTGTCTGCCCACATTCCCCTGCACTCCCTAGACAGACCATTTGACTGGTCGACCTCGCTACTGCGTCCTTTGCTTAACACATCTGTTTCTCTTGTACTCCGTACCTGAATCCCCTGTTTCAGTCAGGCTGTGTTATAATGACTCAGAAATCAGAATCCCGGCAGCCATTAAAAGTCTGCTTAGTAACTGAAAGACCCTCATAGTTATTGGCCTTCGATAAAACATTTTAACAACTAAATGAAGCAAGTTACAATGCTTCCTCGCCTTTCCCCTATATCAGCTTCCCCATGAGACATCTCTAACTGAATGCTTTGATTTTTGGCTGTGAATTCTGGGATTCTGTGTAATGTCATGTCTGAAACTCTTGCACTGGAAGGAATACTATTGGTTTCTATTAAGTATTTAATAAAGCCATTATTTTAATGCCCGATAAAAGTATGTTGATATAAACGTATGGTTGGACAGAATAGATCAAACAGAACATTTTATTGTCCAGTTAAACCTTTTATATAGCCACAGTGAACATAACTTAAAATAAAATACTGTCATGCCCTGATTGTGCCGATCCTCCTGTGTGCCACGCCCCCTCATCTACCCTGTGTGGAATCCCGTGTTACCAGCTGTTTCGGAGTCATGTTCATTGCTGTTTAAGTCCAGGTTAGAGTATATTTGCCCAGTCTGGTCATTAACATCTTGACGTTGCTGTGTGTTACCTGAGTGTGTGATCCCTTAATAAATCCCTCATTTACCCAACTCCTTTTGCCTGCTTCCCTGCTCCGCATATGACAAATACAACTTAAAAATAAATATACATTGCAATAAATAAAACTTGTGCTAAATAATTATCACCAACAAAAGACCTTTGTTTCACACGTTTAAATGAACTTTTCTACATCACCAACGTAAAACAAAGAGAATGTGATTGGTGGTTCGTTCTGTTCGACATGTTTATTAGCTGCACGTGCAAAGCTGCGTATCGGCTCTGTATCTAAAAACCTTTAAATTGACCTAAATTATATTGGACAGACTTTTATGGATTGTTTAAGAATAAGAACAGTGTGACATTTGTTAGTTTAGCAAAAACACCAAAAGCGTTGTCCACGCCGCCTAATTTAATTTGCGTTACCTGACATCGCACGTCCTGCCATGTGACTATTGCATGTGCATACATCGCGATGATGATGCCGAAACGATATATCATCAGCTCTATATTTTTTCCTCTATGTATGTGACATGCACAATAAAAGTTTAATAAGTTTTGCAACACAATGAAAGCCTTTCAACTGGAAAGAAAATGTGACGTGTATCTTGATCATTTTCAATATCATCTGATATGAAATTTATCGCGAAAACTAACAAAACGACTGTTTTGGCGTGACATTGTAGTTCAGTATGAAATTATGTTTTAAGTTTAACCTATGACTTTTTTTGCTTCTCTCGTGATTATTTAACATAAAGGACCTGTTGTGCTTTGAAAGCAACACACAAAATTAGCCAGGAGCTACAGAAGTATCAGGTGGAGACCGATCAGGGACTTGTAACCAGGGCCCAGGCTCCGGAACTTGGGTGTGAAAGCACCTTGTGAAACAACATGAAGGGGATAAAAGATCTGAAAGGTCCTTTGGTTGCTTACATGATGATCTTTGTCTAATATTGATCTTTTATTTTAGTGTACAGAGTGCTAACTTACAGCTGAAGTTTTATGATTCAATAAGTAGAATGAGTTGTCTATAGATGCCTTACTGGGTCCAGCATAATACAGATAATTGACTAATACATTGAGATCCTGGGTTTTAGGTGAAGCTTGAAATTTTCAATTTTTATTGTTTTTAATGCCTTTTTTTGTGGATGTGTGGAGGTATTCGTCAGCTGCAGCTGATCCTGCTGAAGGTGGCGCTGTTGCTGGGAGTGGATATCTACACCGGGGTGGAGTTCAAGGGCCTCAAAGATCCGCAAGTGAATGACATGGGGGTCACAACAGGTGTGCTACAGCTGCTGTGGATTTCTTACTTATCTGTCCATCCATTCTTATTAACCCAGTCGGGGGGGGGGGGGTGAGCATATGGCAGGCTAGGGCCCATTGGCTGGGGCGCCAGCACTTCACAAGGGATTTGCAGATGGATTTTCATACTTTATGGGTAATTAGGGTATTGCTGGTCAGTTGAAGTGCCTCTATTTTGGACTGTGGGAATATAGGGAACCACATTGTTGGGTCGTAAAGGATGTAGTGCTTGCAGTAGCTATACTGGCAGATTGTTGAGTAGTCATCCTTCTGCTTAGCAAAGATGACACTGAACAATTGGATACCTAACTACGGCATTCAGCACTTACAGTGCTTTGGTACCAGCCCGTTTCTGGTTTCCTTAACCACTACGGAGTCATATCTGGAGTTTTATCCAAAAATGGAAAAAGCAATAATATTGTTAATATGATGGCAAGTACGGGAAGTTTAGTCATAGTCACAGGTGACTCTCAAACAAGTCTCATAAGTGCTCATAAGTAATGCTTGTGGAGTGAGAGAATGCCAGTTTAATGGTGTGACGATGTCGCTCTTTCTGCCGATGCCTGAAGGATGGAGGGCGGAGCTGCGGCCAGAGACTCATCCAGTTAAATCTTTCCAGTTTGATGTGTTTATCTCCGCTGGAGGGGGGAACTTTGTTCCTAATGGTGAGTATGCACATGTGTGCACGCAGGCACGTCAGTGTGCACGTCCGCTCCCTTCCTGCAGATGTCTGTGTTAAGAAGGCGAGATCCTGTGAGATTCTGTGTGGCTTTCAGTTGGTGCGTCTTGTGCCTTTAATTCTGTGGTCACTGGTCACTTTCAGGGTGCTGGCCTTTGATGTGGAGTTGAGTGTCTGCTTGTTCTCATGGTGTAACCATGCAGCCGCACTAGGTCACTGTGTTACGGGGCTGTTCTGTCGTCACGCTGCGGTCACATGTTTCGCAGGGTTCCGCAGAAAGGAGCTGCGGGGGAAGCTGGCCATCGGCATCACGGCTAACTTCGTCAACCGCCACACGGCTGTTGAGACTCAGGTGGCGGAGATCAGTGGTGTGGCTCGCATCTACAACCAGAAGTTCTTCAAGGACCTTCAAAATGAGACTGGTTAGACTGGAGGGTGGGAGGGGGGAACCTGCTCAAATAGCATTACCTGCATAATGCATCACTGTTAACCTTTAAAGCCGTTAGCGGTGGGTGGAGGGCAGGAAATTGGGGAGGGTCAGAGCTGACTGTTCTGAAAGGCCGGGGAGCGGTGGGGGCCTGGGGAGCGGTGGGGGCCGGCTGAGGGTGGTTGGGGGCCTGGGGAGCGGTGGGGGCCGGCTGAGGGCAGTGGGGGCCAGCTCGCTTTCACACTGTGATATTAGTATGTAGGATACAGCTACAGCTCCTGCCCAGGTTCCTTAACGATCTTTTATTAATCATAAATAACTTTTAAATTCTATGTTCTGAGTGAATGTCAGTAATACTGGCAGTATGTAAGTGGAGAGAGAACCCTTGAAAGAGACTGACCGATATATCGATATAGACTGACCCCCCCCCCACCACCACCCCAGGCATTGATCTGGAGAATATCGTCTACTACAAAGATGACACCCATTACTTCGTCATGACTGCCAAGAAGAAAAGCCTGGTCAAGAAGGGGGTCCTCAAGCAGGTGAGGATGTCACTGCATCTGCAACAAAGTGGTCCTCAAGCAGGTGAGGATTTCACTGCATCTGCAACAAGGGGGTCCTCAAGCAGGTGAGGATGTCACTGCATCTGCAACAAGGGGGTCCTCAAGCAGGTGAGGATGTCACTGCATCTGCAACAAGGGGGTCCTCAAGCAGGTGAGGATATCATTGCATCTGCAGGCCTATCAGGCCTTTTTCCAGTCTTTCCGGTCTTTGGCCAGTATTCCACTGCAGAATGCTTCGGGTTTTGCGCGGACCGGTTGGGTAAGTTCCAAAATAAACAACATATTTTCAGCTTAATTAACAACCCCTCACATTTGCGCATTCGATGTGCTGGCAAACCGTTAATTTTTTTTGTATGCCGTAAACTAGTTTGCTGACATCAAAATGTTGGGAACCCTTAAGTTAGGGGACTGGTGTATGTAGACTGGCGGCTAGTGAAATCTTTTTTTTTTTTTTCTTAATCTGAAATTCATCAGTATTGGCATGTATCAGGGCCACAGTAAAATCCATCCATCCATCCATCCATCAATGTTGCATTATTACTTAACCAGTACAGGGGGGGCCTGGGTGGGTCATCAGTCCATCACACGGCATGCCACAGCAACAGCGTGAGTGTAATTGATAGTGTAATTATCATTTGAAATCAGTGTTCAGTTAAGAATGTCTGTCTTTTTGATCTCAGACAGTAATCTGAGAGCGAAACGTTTCTCCACAGCAGAATTCTTAACATAATTGTCAGCAACCGTGTGAATAACTTTGTGCTGATGGCACCATAAAATTGGCCCTTTTTATGAACCATAATCTGATTCTCTGTTAGGTTGCTAATCTTTAGTCATCAGTCATTAAAACTTCCTCTAATTCAGGACAAACTTGCCTGGTTAGAAAATCTGCATGACTGACCTTCTGTTCTATAAAACTCTGCTCAGTTTACCATACACTTAGGGGACTGTAGAGTTACTAGTTAAGCTACATGACATCACTGTCGATGGTCTGAGGAAACACACGGAAAAGCCTGGAGACTCCATGTTCAAAACCAGGGCAGGAACCTAACTGGGTGGGGGCATGAGGTTATTCAGAGCTGCCTCCCACCCCCAGGGCTTATTTATGATGGTTACCTTCTGTTTACATAAGTACCTTGCAGCAGGTTTTACACAAAACATTTAGTTTGGCAACAATAAAATGATGAGCAGGTGGAAGACGGGCGGACGGCAAGGAGAACGATCTGATAGGCCTGTGTTCAGAGAAGAATGTCAATGCTTAGGAAGTGGGGGTTGGGAAATCTACATACACGGTCCCTGGAAAGAGGCCCCCTGTGGACGTAGTGAGGGTGTTGCAGCACTAATGACATACAGGAGAGAAGCTATGCAGACTGGACTCGTAACACGGCGGTGTTTATACTCGCATGCAGGTAGAATTTGTGTTGCCTTTTCAAGTGGTTTTCCTTTTCCTGATTACATTATGCCTGCCTCATTAATCTTGCTGGTCTGGTTCACTGTCAAGCGAAATGCCGCTTGTTTGCCTGAAAACAGGAGGCTGACTTTCAGGCCTAGTGCATCGGTGTGCTGCCAACACAGTATAGAAAGCTCTACATAAATGTATCAGAAGTCCGTTTATGAAGTGTACCTTCCAAGGAATGGATCGTTTCTGATCATTTCTGCTAAAATGCTGGCAGTACTGTCCCTCTCCACGCTGTTTGAAGTTCTCCTGTTTCAGAGGACTCTTGGGTTTGCTGGTTTTCTTGGTGCTGCTTCAGAAGTATGGCTGAGGCAGTAAGTTCGTGTTTGTACATGCCTACACCAGGTGTGTGTGTGTGTGTGTGTGTGTGTGTGTGTGTGTTTTGTCATTCTCACTAATGTGAAACTTATTCCACACAGCAGACATTTCTAACTGTTTAGTACGTGGGTGTGCAAAACAATACGGGCACCATTTTAAAGGGAATTATCAGCGGTAAATTTTGCCTAATCTTTAACCATTTGCTGATGGCTCATTGCTGCTGTATTGCCAATACAGTCGGTGCATCTCTAGCTCAAACCCAGGTGTGAGAACTCTTCAGCCAGTCAGTTCTCTAATTAGTAAACCAATTAGTGACAGTTACACTGAACCCACACAACTAAGGGCCCTTTCTGTTCTGCCCACCCCTATTGTAAACTGTAGGTAATGCGATATCAGACCGTTCTTCTTGAAGAAAAGCCTTGAAGTCAGCCTTTCCCGCATCTCCCGCAGGACCACGGTAGTGTGGACGAGCTCCTCTCGCCGGCCAACGTGGACCAGGATGCCCTGCTACACTACGCCCACGACGCTGCCTACTTCTCCACCAGCCACCACCTCCCGGATATGGAGTTTGCCCGCAACCATCGCGGCTGCCCCGACGTGGCCATGTTCGACTTCACATGCATGTACCGGGCTGAGAACGCCTCCATGGTTAAAGAGCGACTGGGGAGGAGGTTGCTGGTGGGCCTGGTGGGGGACTGCCTGGTGGAGGTGAGGCAGGCCGGCGTGCCGCGGTGCCAGGCCACATGCTGACGGTGGGCAGCACTGACATGCTGTCTGCTCCCGACGCCCACAGCCCTTCTGGCCTTTGGGAACCGGCATCGCCCGTGGCTTTCTGGCCGCCTTTGATGCCGCCTGGATGGTGAGGCGCTGGGGGATGGGTGATGACCCTCTGGACGTCATAGCTGAACGGTAACTAACCCCTCTGCTTTATCTAGAGCAGGGGTGTCAAACTCCAGTTTGCCGGAGCCCTGTGTAGCTTAGTTCTTTCCCTGTTCCACCACAAATGATTCAGCTCAAGAGCTGTGTGGTAATTGGCACAAGGAGTTGAATCAGGTGTGTTAAATGAGGGTGAACCAAAAACTGTGCAGGGCTCCGGCCCCCCAGGACTGGAGTTTGACACCCCTGATCTAGAGAGAGCCAGTCGAGTATCCCTCTAGGGGCTGGTCAAGGATTTCTGGCTGTCTTTGAATGTATAAACGGCATCAATTACGAGAATGTGCGTGGTCAGCGTAGCTAAGAAAATAATTAGTGCGACCAATCTTGAAGCATGTTGGTGACATTGCTGTCTGTGCATCTAGGCCGAATTAGCTAACGGCTGCATTTTTATCTGCTATTCTTTCAATACAAAAAGCGAAAGTGTCTATCAGCTGCTGTCGCAGACTACACCTGAAAACACCAGCAAGAATTATGGGTCCTACAGCCTTAACCCCAAGACACGGTACCCCAATATCAACCTGAAAGCCATCAAGACCGGCCAGGTCAGCCGATAGGCAGTCGCTGGTTCTGACAAGCTTGCAGTGCTTTGGGTTTGATCCATTTCCTGTAGGCCATGTTAGAACTTTAACTGTGTTGGATTTTGAAGATCATATTGTCAAATGAACAGCGACCTTCACTTTGCCATGGTAACGTGGGGCATTCTCTCTGCACTGGTGCCCAGGTACAGCACCTGTATGATTCTGGGGACCCGACAGACACCCAAACATCCAGCAAGAGACAGACGGGCAAGGGGACAGGTGAGTGTCAAGGTCAGTCTTTAGCATAGTCAAAAGCAACCCAGCCTAATCAGTTCAGCTTTAATTTACACTATATGGCCAAAGTATGTGGACATCCTAATAATTATATGAATTACTTGAGACACACATTTATTAATTGAACGTACAGCGATGTAATCTTAAAGCACTCAGCGGCCGTACAGAGAAGGTTAGTGATCTTCAGTTTGGAATCATCATGAGATCTTTCCGACAAGACGGCTCATCATATTTCCGCCCTGCTAGAGCTGCCCTGGTCAGTCACAGATCCTATAGTGGATTATGGGCTGTCAGGGAGCAAGTTCAGCTGTGATGTGCTGAGCCAGACAAGCTGACAGGAAGCATTAATACCCAAGCTGAGTCTCATTAGCAGTGTTCTTACGCCTAATGGAACGTCTTCCCACAGGGACGCAGCCTATTAGCCGCAGGCCGCTAACCAGCTTCAGGTTAATAGCCTTGCTTTCGAATCGGGATGCTGGAGAAGCCGCTTTCCAGATACCTTTGGCCATATAGTGCCATATACAAATTATAGCCAGCACAGCATCTGTGTTAAATATAATGTTGTTTTACCTGTTAAATAAATGAGATGAATATTTATATGGATTTTAAGCATAACTGATATTTATAATAAGAGGTATTATATGGGTCTTGGGGCATCTACCCAACGTCCACCGTGTTTGGCGTTCGCTGCAGATTCGCCGGGCAGCTGCCAGTTTCTCCTGAGATGGTGCCAGCAGCATACAGCTGGCTACCAGCGGGTGCGAGTCACAGACCTGGCAGAGTCCTGGCGCTCCGGCCTGGCGCTCTGCGCCCTCATCCACCGCTTTCGGCCGCACCTCATGTGAGTGTGAGCCGCACCTCTCCGCACCCCTCCTGCTTCCTGTAAGCTGTACCTCTTCATGTCAAACTTTGTGCCACGTCCCTTTTTTTTTCCACCAGCCACATCCTGTCCCCTGGCTAGTCAGTGTTCTCTGTACGCGATTCAGCTCGGGATTGCCGCTGTGCGTCACTGCTGCTCATTGTCCAACTTGACCATCGGGGCATTGCTGTACACCAAGGGATTACCTCCATCCTCCCCCAAATCACACGCAGTCAAATGTGTCAAACCGAAAAATCCCAGGTTTGTTAGGCCTGAGAGATCAAGCTTTATTTGAATAAAATGGTATTTAAAAAAATATTTTGGAAATATATATAGCTGCCGTTAAGTCATGTAACACGCGTCTCCACATTTTCGTTTTTCCCCAGTGGCTCTGTCACTAATCTTAGAATCTGCCACTAGGGGCAGACTTCAGTAAATTAATTGTACTAGCCAAAATGGCTGAAACTAGGCCGCAGGGAAATAATGTGTCAGTCAGAGGAATGCAGCAATAGAGTAACCCCCCGAAATGTAAAAGCACAGGGAAAGTGTTAATTGTAGGGATCCTCCAGTACTCAGTTAATAAATAGCATTGATTTGAGAAATACCATCAAAATACCACACTAACGTTTGACTGTATGAAAAATTAAATAGTGCCCAGTCACAGTGAGGCGTAGCCCAGGGTTTAAACTATTTTATGCACATAATCCTATTAGTTTAATTTTCATACTACAATTTAGATTTTTTTTTTTTTGTGGTTTGTTGCTGGCGTTTCATTGTGTTATGATATATTGCACAGGTGTCAAACTCCAGTCCTGGGGGGCCGGAGCCCTGCACATTTTTGGGTTTCCCCCCATTTAACACACCTTATTCAGCTCCTTGTGCAAATTACCACACAGCTCTTTAGCTGAATCATTTGTGGTGGAACAGGGAAAGAACTAAGCAACACAGGGCTCCGGCCCCCAGGACTGCAGTGAACTAAGCTACACAGGGCTCCGGCCCCCCAGGACTGCAGTGAACTAAGCTACACAGGGCTCCGGCCCCCCAGGACTGCAGTTTGACACCCCTGATATATTGTCTCCTCGATATATTGTCTTCTCTCTTAAGATGGTAGCAGGTTATCGTGATGGGTTCCTCCATCACGGGCAGTTACACACAACGGGATTAGGCTGCTTTTGTCATGTAATTGTAATTAATATTATTAGAATTTTTTCAGGAGGGAATATAAAAAAAAAAAAAAAAAAAAAAAAAAGAATTTTTTCAAGTGATACATCTGTTATAAAAATTCAAATGCCTTTTTAAAAGCAGTTTATCGATACCTTCGGCTTTATGTCAGCGGTAAGTGAACAGGAATCATTGTTTTCTTTGACCTTGTATCGATTTCGCTGTGAGACACGTCTTCAGCATTCCGCTGCTCTGTCCCTCTGCCTGTCCCTCTGCCTGTCCCTGCTGTATGAAGGAATGGAGACGAGCTCGTTATCATGCCTGCTTTTCCCCTTCAGATGTTCCTTATAGCGCTTACAGACCAGTGTCTCTTGCTCTTGGTCTTTTACCGTTTAACCTCTCGTTTCAGTGACTTCTCTTCGCTTGTGGGGTCTGATGCCGTGTGTAACAACCAGCTGGCTTTCGACGTGGCGGAGGAGGAGCTGGGCATTTCTCCCATCATGTCGGGCACGGACATGGCGGCTCCAGGCCAGCCCGACAAGCTCTCTATGGTCCTCTACCTCACCCAATTCTACAACGTTTTCACTGAGGCGCCCCCTACAGGTGGGCCCACAGCACTACATTCATCTCTGGTTCAGAAGCATCCCTGTTTCACTGGCTTCTTGCTAGTTTTAATAGTGGGTTTGTTTCCTTGTCATTTAGCCTTTAAATTTGAGATTTGTGATTTTTCTAGCCACTCATCTAAACCTACCACTGGTGGTATTTATTTCATGAATCAAATCAAATGATGTATAAATTAAATGATGGATAATAAATATGGATCATTTATTCCAATTCCTCATTGCAGATCCACTGTTCATTTTTGGGGGATATTCAGACAGTAGGAAAGTTGAACACACTGATGAGTATAATTTAGTCATATAACTAGGTGACTAATGACTATAGATTTTTTTCAGTGCATCTCGCTCTTCCAGTTCATACATTGCAGCAATGATTTCCTGTGGAGGCTGAGCTTCCCGTCTCCTTAGTGACAGTCACAGGGCTTTCTGTATTACTCCCAGAATCATCGCTTTATATTCACGGTTTCTAAAGGGTCTTAATTTGATCAGGTGACTGAACCACAAAGCCATGTCTTCAGTTATCTGTTAAATGTGTGGGGGTCCCACTCGCCCTACCAGTTCCACTGAGAGTGAGCTGTGTAGCTGTCACTTTAAGGTTGCTACCCATAATGCTCGTTGGTGGAATGCTCCTGGACTTCGCTGCTTACAGCTGCAGTGGCTGCCGAGACTGGCAGGGCTGGAGAGGAAATGGCTCGTTAATTTGCGCCACAGGACTGTTGTTCGGTCCTGCTTGTAGCTGCGAATGTGGAATTTGCACTGTGTTCCTGCTTGAGAGGAAGGGATTCTGCAGGAGCTGGCCAAAAATAAGGTATTAGTGGCTGAACAGGGATTATGTGGGGGGGGGTGCTTTATGCATAGGGCTCGCTGGCGGTCAGTTGTGGGGGTGGGCGTTTGCTCCAGGCAGGGCTCGCCTGACGGGCTGACCCAGGGCTGTGGGTTATGGCGTCTTTCATGTCTGTACCTTGATCAGCCTTGGGTGGGTGGGTGGGGGGGTGGTGGTGGCGGGGGGGGGGGGTAATCCAGTAATCCATGTTCCAGAAAAAAGGCAGTGTAAGCTTTGATGCTTGGGAGAGAGGCTGGGCAGCATTAGCCTGTGAGTGGGCGAGGGTGCAGGAGGGAGCGAGATGGGGAGGAGGTGGTGGGGAGGTGGGGAGGAGGTGCAGCGGCATCCGCAGGCTGCCATGGAGGTTTCCTAAGGTGCAGGATACATGGGGACTCGGTATTTCCACCAGCGACAACGTCCCCCGCCCCCCCCAATGCTGGTCTGAAATGTTTAAGGGGCATGAGCAAACTTCATCTCCTTCTCGCTCCCCAGATTGTGTGGAGGTGCCGGGTTCGACCGCATCGCTGTCCCGCTCCAGCGTTCGGTCAGTGACTCTGTTCCTGAGCAAACTGAAGCGCAGCACCGCGCAGAGACAGAAGGTAAGCCCCCATGTGGCCTAGAGCCCCTCCTGACAGCCTCACTGGGGAGGGCAGGACGGACCCGTCTCTGCCATCATGCTGGGAACACAACTGATTAGATGAGGATTCTGGTGTAAAACATGCGGATCGCAAGGCCCAGGGATGAGCTCCCGTGCCCTGGACCTAGGAGCCACTGTCCGGACATAAATCAAATGTCAGTCGCTTTCGACTTTTCCATCATGGTGAAAATCCCTCTGCAGCACACAGACACCCCTCCCCGTATTCATGATGGTGGGATGGTACGTTATTCAACTAGAATGAGCTGAATATCTGATATCTAACGTGTCAGGGAGACGTTCATCAATAATGTGTTTCTGTACGTCTGCCTGTCAGTGGTAAGTGAGCAAGAATCATCATATGGAACAATGTTGTGGTTTTTTTTTTTACCTTAAGTGAAATTGATACGCTGTCAGTAGCCAGTCGCTTCGCTTTGTTCCTGACGGTCTTCGCTTTTCTTCTGTGAAAACAGCTTGTTATTGTGTGTTTGCATTTCTAAATGCCGAGGTAAATTTATTTCAGTGCCGCTGCCCCCCAGGCAATTAATGGGACATATGACTTTGTGTTTTATTTTTTTCCTTATCTTTCATGTAGCGGAGACTGTCTGTAGAACAGGCATCAAAGGAGGGAAACATGGGGGGAGAAGAGGAGGATGGTGTGAGTATTTATACGCCGTCCGCCGTGTGCTGGGTCTGTGCCGGCAGCAGCAGCAAAGCCGCATTCTGAGCTGCGGGCTCGTCTGCGGGCTCGTCTGCGGGCTCGTCTGCGGGCTCGTCTGCGGGCTCGTCTGCGGGGCGTCTGCGGGCTCGTCAGCGGTGAAGCCAGAGCTGACTGCAGGCTTCTGTGTAACTGCTGAGATAAACACACCTTCAGTGCCTCTGCTCAGCAGGAAGCTGCTTTCTTGGCGTTAGGGAACCTGCGACTGATTACGCATAGAAATGTGTGGTGATCCCTCTCAAATCATTGAGGAAAAGAGATTTTACATGTTGGATGTAAGCCAGCTTGAAACTGGATGTGGATGAAAGCATGTTGCAGCAGAAGTGAAGCATGGCTGGTGAAGATCAGGCTTCATGAAGGCTGCTGGTTCGATATGGACATTAATGGACGTTTCTGGACGTCTTTCCAGGTTGCATCGCCCCAGGTTGGGGATGTTATACCGCAATGTACTTGGATACTGGGCCAGAGCAGCGGGGTAATTGTTCAACTTCTGTCTGAGTAGAGATGCCAAATGTAGATAAGATGTTCCAGCTGGTAGCGGGAATTAACCAGGCATTTGCATGCGCTCCAAAATATCATGTGGATGACTGATAGTCATCGACCTGCGATCACATGGGCGCCTCCCTGCAGCAGCCCTGCCAGTGGTTACTGACTCATGCACACAGGAGATTTTCATGCCGTGCGTCGCTTTTAAATCTGGGCTGAGGTGGCAAGTAGTTCATCGCTTTTGCAGGTGGTTTGCTGGGTCAGTACTGTATCAGGATTTTTATTTTTTATAAGGGTGTCAGCGGAAGTATTTTTAGTGACAGTTGAAGCTTGTCATTTGAAATTTTCACCACATTCACTGAAATCATAAAGGCTCCTATGCTGTGTGGTACTCAGTGCTCAACTAGGGAAGTACTCTGTGGTACTCGGTGGTACTCAGTGCTCAACTAGGGAAGTACTCTGTGGTACTCTGTGGTACTCAGTGCTCAACTAGGGAAGTACTCTGTGGTACTCGGTGGTACTCGGTGGTCCATTACTGAAGTACTCATATATTGACGCCTGATGCTCCAGCTGCTAGGCTGCTTTTGGCACAGCTCTAATAGCTCAAGTAGAGCATTGCGCTAACAATGCAGAGGTCGTGGGTTCGAGGAAGCGCACACAAACTGTAAGCCTTCCCTGTACTGTAAGTTGCTTTGGATTAATGGCTAATAATGTACAAGTTGATTTTGTATCTCTCTTCTAGCAGCCGCCGTCCCCCCTGCTGACCCCAAGCAGCAGCGACTTGTGCTACTTTTGTGGGCAGCGGGTCTACATCCTGGAGCGGGTCAGCACAGAGGGCAAATTCTTCCACCGCAGCTGCTTCACCTGTAACCAGTGCGGCGCTACCTTGCGGCTGGGAGATTATGTCTTCAGTGAGGACACAGGTGAGGGGCGCTGTGCCGCCACAGGGCGAGTGTCTCAGCATCATGCCTGACAAAGGGCCTGATGCAGGAGACGTACTAGACGTAGGTGGGAGAACAAAAGCTGATCTGTGCTGGATGACAGCACCATCATCATCATCATCATCATCATCATCATAGGACTGTAAAATCAACCAAGCCAAAGGAAACTTCATGATAATGTCTGGTTAAAGATTCATAATGTAGGTAGGACTTCACATGAAATGTGCTTTGATTGTGCTTCTGTTTCCCGTAACGGCTCTCAGTGCAGGGCTGTGGGGAGTCTATAGCCCAGGACTCCTCAAACTTCTTAGTCAAAGGTCTGCATTACATTTTTGTTAAAAGTCAGTTGTCCAGAACAATTTTCAATAACAAAACAGCATTTCATGACCTTTGATAAAAACATCAATATACAACAAAAACAGGAACTTTTTCACGCCCACTGATCGTTTTGACAATGTCATTGTGTGTGTGTGTGTGTGTGTGTGTGTGTGTGTGTGTGTGTGTGTGTGTGTGTGTGTGTGTGTGTGTGTGTGTGGGGATTATGACAAGTTGTAATGTATGATATATCGGCTGGGCTAACTCACGGTTTGGTCTGGACTTTGAAAGCCCCTGCTATACACGCCCCGGGCCGGTGTGTCCATCGCGGGGCAGGGGGACGCCGCGGGGCGGGGGGACTCCCTAACATACCCTGACGTGTACACTAAGGGAACTGAGAAACATTAGTGAAGCAGATGAGACACTCAGGCAGAGAACATGCAAAAATAAACCTGCAAAGGAATTGAACCCACAGCCCTGTAGCTGTAAGGCCACAGTAGCATCCACTGAGCCACCCTGTTGTGTCTTAATATCTTTACACCTTATAGAAAAAATGCTGTTTGGGTTGCTGTGTGTGCAGAGAACTTGTCTTACTTTTAGCTTGTTTTCTGTTTGCCGCTTCTACTAGGAAAGTTCTGCTGTGCTCAGCATTCCGAAGAGTTACCACTTACAAACGGGGAAGAATGTGTCCAGCACCTCCAACCTGAACCAGCTCACCAGGTTACATTTAAATAACTGTGATAACAAGGCAGAAGAGAAAAGTTCTTTGTAAAAATTAGCAGAAGTGTTTTTGGTTGCTGTGAGTGGTTCATGTGCTGTTTTTCTTTCCTCCTTTTTCTTAAAAACCTGCAAAATATTCAACATGTTCCGGGTGTCACAAAGGATCACATTAGGACTTTGGCGGAGCCCTCGGAGTCGAATGGAGGCCACGTTCTGCCCCAGTTCTGCTCAGGGCTACTAAAGGAGGACCAGAGCTCCGGTTCTTTGATAGCGGAGGATCAGGAGCGACCCACAGGCTTGACTGTTGAGCTTCAGAACTGGGACGTTAGCAATGCAGCTGCTTCTAAGGAGCAGCCATATTCATCTCCAGCTCAGTACCCGGTAGTAACACGCTCTGATCCAGAGGCTGATCTCAGGCCCAACCAAGTAATGGAACATGGCAAGACCACAAGTGAACCGACGGATCCCACTGTGATCTTGCCCTGCCTCTCGGGGGAGGGGCACCCCCAGGCGGGACTCCCAGTTCCAGCCGCCCGCTCCTTGTACCTGTCCTTTCCGGTCGGGGTAAATGCTGATAAGGGCCCCTGCGATGCCACACCTGCCCTTCCTCCAGTGCCCAAGCCACGCGCTCGTCTCCTAAAAACACCCGAAGCCGCTGTTCTGATCTCCTCTGAGGACCAGGAGGGTAACGAGAAGCAGGAGCCGAAGGAGGATGTAGAGGGGGAGGTGATGAGAGGCTTGGCGGCCGCAGACCAGTGTTCCAAAGCAGCCCTGCGTAAGCTGCAGCTGAGCGCAGAGGAGCGCAGCCAGCTCTCCAGTTCCATCTTTGGAAAGGACTCCGACTCTGAGGTCCTGGCGCCAGCCCTTCCCACGTCCCCGAAACCTCCACGGACTCTGCTAGAGCCCGAGGATCAGGGGGGCACCTGGGCTAACAGCCTGACAGACTGCATCCGCCAGCAGAAGCACCGCAGGTCATTCCGCCGGAAAGATGAGCTGGCGGCCAAGGTGCAGGCCCAGGCGTCCAATCCCAAGGCGCGCTCCAAGTTCTCCCCCTGGAACCTCTCCTCACCTCGGCTTGTCAGAGACCACAGATTTCTGAATCTTGGTGTCTACAAAGGGGGAACAGGTAAGCAGTAATGGGACCAGCCTAAAATGAGCCTGGCGATCCCGTGCTCATGTGCAGTCACCCTTCTGTATCTATGGGGAATCGGCTCTAGGACCAAAATCCACAGATGCTCAAGTCCCTTATATAAAATGCCATAGTATTTGCATATAACCTATGCACATCCTCCTGTGTACTTTAAATCATTTCTGGATTACTTATAATACCTGATGCAATGTAAATGCTACATAAATAGTCGTGATACTATTGTTTATTGAATAATGACAAGAAAAAAAGTCTGTACATGTTCAGTACTGACACGACTATCATAGTCCATATAGAAATTTATACATAGGAAATATAGAAATATATAAGGAAAAGATATAGAAAGCACACACATAGCACATGGCATATTTTAGTTTGACTTTTCGGGACTATCTGGAAATTTTGTTTTGATCTGTGGTTGGCTGAATCTGCAGCTGCAGAAGCCATGGACATGGGGGGGCAGCTCGTTTGTTCTCGGTCTGCTGTCATTGTGGTTCTTAGGCATAAGTGAGTGATCTTGTATGTCCTGCATATACGCTCTTCGTAGCTGAATCGTTGACGACAAGCTGCTTAATTCTCCTCTTCTTTTGAAAAGGAGCAACATCACCTCCTGTCATCAAGTTACCAGATGTGGATGACGATGATGCCAATGAAGATGAGGAAGAGGAGGATGATGATGATGGGGAGGAGAACGAAAGCACTTTTTGCAACAGTGATGTCATGCATCCGTCTGATTGGAAGGTACAGAGTACTGGGCTGATGAAGGCCTGAAATTGGGCCAAATACCATCTCGAATTGGATGGCCAGGGTAGCAGAATTGTCTTACACTTCATTCAAATCCGACACCTGCTCTTTGACTGTGTAGTTTGCGTGTTTTTTTCTAGGTAATTTCTTTTCCTCCCGTTGTCCCAAAACAGATGAAATGGTGTCTTTAAATTGCCCAGAGTTTTATTGCCTTCCTGTAGTGAATGTGCCTTATTAGACTTTGAGTGCATAGTAGTCTGATCTATACTGAGTCATTCCAAAGCATATTTACCCATGTGATTCTACTCCCTTCCATGTCCATGTGAAGATGGTCTCTGCTGTGCCAGTAACTGAGCAGCAGAAGGTTGAGCTTCAAAGGATGAGGACCATCGAGCGCCAGGCGAAGCTTTATGAAATACAGCGCTTCCACAAAGCTCAGGTTAGCCTGCCATCTCCTCACTGCCAAACTGGACAGTGTGTTCATTTAAAAAGGGGCTTAGGCACGTTGACTGTATTGGGAAAGTAGCAAGTGGCAGACATGTCTGCTTTCAGTTGTCCTCAAACGTAATCAGCTGACAGAAAGGTTCATGCGGTTCCACAGTCCATTCAGAGGCGCCTGGAGGAGATCGAGGTGACTTTCAAAGAGCTGGAGGAGAAGGGAGTGGTTTTGGAACGAGCACTTAGGGAAGAGGCAGGTGAGAGATTGCCGTCAAAAGCACGCTGAGAAACGTCTGTTAATTGATTGCACTTTCATAGAAAGCTTTGAGTTGTATACACAGAAAATTAAGCTTTCTATGTACCTTTATCTGAAATAAATGGGTGTAACTCTCCAATTCCAAGAGCCAGTTAATTTATGCCAGGGTTATATAAAAGATGTTAATGTAACATGAGCGCAGGATTGTTAACCAACAAGAATTCAAGAAAATCAACCAAGATTGCGGCCACTGGACTTTTTCCTCAATTTCATGCCACAGGTTCCTCAGAAATGATCAATCAGTGGATTGAGCTGGTGCACCAAAAAAACGCTCTGGTGTCTGAGGAGTCCGACCTCATGGTGGCGTAAGTTTCCAACAGATACGCCTTCCGTAGATTAAACTCCACCTTGCATAGTTCTACTCTGCTGGGACTCTGTTTGCAGCATGAGTGTGTATGTGGTGTTGGTGTGTCCCGGTGCTCAGCGTCCACCTTCTATCCCTCGCACTGCATCTTCCAGCTCACGGCAACTGGAGCTGGAAGACAAGCAGAGCAGGCTGGATGCGGAGCTTCGAAGATACCTGGAGGTGGACGGTATGGCGCTTATTTGCTACAAGTTCGCATGTAGTGAAAGTGGGCCGGTTAAAGCTAAGCGGCTCCTTTGCTGCGTGTCTGTGCTCGTAAACAGAGTCCAAGAAAACAGCCGAGCAGCGGGAGAAGGAGGAGCGAGTGCTGCAGGAGATGCTGGAGGTGGTGAACATGAGAAACTCACTAGTGGCCTTTCTGGAGGAGCAGCGGCTGAAGGAGGCCAGCGAGCAGCTGCAGGGAGTGTCCATCGTGGAGCCAAAGAGGGCGGAGACGGGGGCGGCCCAGGTGCACTGGGCCTGAGCTGGCGTGCAGACACACCCTGTTTCTACACCAACGCATGGTGATACAGCCACTCAAAATGTGCAGAGAAGGGAATCGGCACCAATACCGTCACGTAAACACACACCGACGTGTTTCAGCACACATGCACAATCACACACCCGCCACCCAGGGCTGCACGATTTAAGGTACAGTATCAATCACTATTTTTTTTTGCACAGCATTAAGATTGCGATTTTTCCTTTCGTGATTCTTAAGCAAGATAGTTTTTCTATTATTTTTATTTTATTGATATATTATTGTATTTTTTTGCATTACATATTCCTTATGAAGATGAAAATGGTGAAAAAGGAAATGTTTACTGTGATGCAGCGGATCTCCCAGCTAATGCAAAAATGAAATAATCTGTGTCAAGTAAAAAAATAAGATCTCATAGGGGCAATTTATAAACATTGTCGTCCAGCCCTAGTACCGCATCTCTCAGGTCAGATGCACAACAGCAAGCACTGCACGCACGCACGCACACGCACACGCACACGCACACGCACACACGCACACGCACACACACACACACACACACACTCTCTCTCAGGGTGTCATAGAGACTAAATCTGGTCCTACTGGCTAAGTGCAGCCCCATAATGTTCTTGGATGCCCAATCATACGTCACTAGTCTTGCGTTGCCATTAACCCCAATCCTGAATTCATCATGATGCTGCAGTGATTGGGCCAGATCAGGAGGGCTTTCTGCTGCTGTGCCCCCCTCCCGCAGCCCCCACATCACCTCCTGTTCGGCTTCCGTGCGTAAACATCCTGCTATAAGAACATAAGCCACAGAAGCAGTGCTGAGGAGAAAGTGCTCCAGGCTGTGGTCCAATCAGGAGGCTCTCTCTGCCTGTGACTGTGCAAAGAGGGGACTGCATTCAGCAAGAGAAAGGACGCCCTCTGCTGGCCATATTACCCGTCACTGGAGTGAAAATGGCCTTCTGGTTATGCCAGCATGCACTGCCTCGTCAAGCGTTGTGGTAATAAGTATTACAGTTATGCCAACTGTGACTGCTGTTATTGCTGCTGTTACTGCGTTTGTCATTAATGCCGTCTTTATTATTGAGTTGATCCTTTTTATTTCATTAAATATGAACTGGAGTGTAAGTTAACATGTAACTGTACGTTACATTCCCTTGTGGAGTTCAGATGAATTTGTGTGTGCGTTAGTGCGAGTAACACTTACTCAGGGCTAAATAAAAGAGCTTAGTGCACCTGACAGTCACGGCAGAACCATATTTCATGTGGTATTTAATTCAGAAGACCAAAACAGGAGATGACAGTTTACGGTAGTATGGTTACTTTTTTAACATATAAAATTCAACAAACTATTAAATATTTTATTGCACCCTGTTTATAACCAATGTGCATCTCCTATGTACAATATGTGCAGATTTAAGTGTATCACAATCTGAAATCTTTGTCTAATATTGTCTGTTTCTGAGGATTATCTTTATTCGTTGTCGTAGCGCTGCTGCTGGGACAGTACTTTAAAATCTTAATAAACTGTAAATTTTTAATGTTTGGAGTTTTTTAATGTCAAGGTAGACGTGCGGGTGGCTGTCATTTAGTTTGTTTTTTTTTTATTTCCAAAAGTATTTTTCTTAGTCCATCCTATTCCCCAATTGGCCACTAGGTGGCACCTTGAGCCTACACAAGTCCAAGTAGACAGTTCAGAATGCCTTTAGTGTCATTGTACAGGTAGCAGGTACCAGTTGTAAAATTCTGGTCTGCGCATATATATCTGGCTGATTTAGGAGATTTCACCTACGTCTGGGCCATTAATCAAAGTCTAATATCAATTACAATTTTGACTTCCAGTGAATAACAAAGTAGAGCAGCCCTAGTCCGCCACGACTACCTAAGCACGCTGCCAACTTTTCAGTCGCTGGGACAGGATGTTCAGCGTCACTGCATCATTTTTCAAAGCAGCGGAGGCAGTTGCCGTTTCACTTCCAAGGGCTAAAGAAATGTCAGAAGTGGGATTCGAACCCACGCCTCCAGGAGAGACTGTGACCTGCACACCGTGCCTTGGACTGCTCGGCCGTCCTGACTACAGCCAAAGGCACTTTGATGCGCCACAGGGAAGCCATAAGGAGATACCGAGAGGGAGGGAAGCTGGCCGTAATAATAGAGGTGTGGGACTCACAGGGGTGAGCAGACTCACCCTGTCTGTCTGATAGTACAGTGGTGAGTCTCCCCAGCTGTGTTTTGGGAGATTGGGGTTTGATTCTCTGACGGGGAATGTGCTGCTTGCTTTTGGTATAGCAGGGGATGAAAGAAAATGCTTTCATTTGCAAGCAACGGTGCCTCACAAAAGGCAGCACCCTGCCATCTTATCCATGCAGCATCCACTGTCAAAGATGGCTTAGCATAAGGGCTTCAAGCTGCCCCACCAACAGCCAGGGTTTAGTTCACACTCGTAGTCGGCAGGATTTGAACCTGCGCAGGGAGACCCCAATGGATTTCTAGTCCATCGCCTTAACCACTCGGCCACAACTACCTAAGCACACCACTAACTTTTCAGTCACTGGGACAGGATGTTCAGCGTCACTGGATCATTTTTCAAAGCAGAGGAGGCAGTTGCCGTTTCACTTCCAAGGGCTAAAGAAATGTCAGAAGTGGGATTCGAACCCACGCCTCCAGGAGAGACTGCGACCTAAACGCAGCGCCTAAGACCGCTCGGCCACCTTGACTACAACTACCATACTTCCATTTGCTTAGTTTTTGCTCTGCTGCATCTTTTCTGCACTCCTGTGTAACCCCTGAGTTAGACCCACCCATAGCTATGCCCCTACCCTGTTACATCCATCTTCCAATCAGGGTTGCAAAAGGATTGGAGCCCATCCCAAGTGATAAGGTCAGTGTACAGCACAGATCGCATGCCTATCCATCACAGGGCACACACACTTATTTACAATCAATTTAGAGACTACATTTTACCAAATTATAGGTCTTTGGACTATATGAGATAAATAAATATAGTGTGCATAGGTTAACAAATGCTTTTGTCAGAAGTGACATATAAGTGAGTATTCAGAGAGTACAGTCCGCCGCTGTCCCTGGAGCAATTGGGGTTAAAGGACTTGCACAAGGTCCCAACTACAGTATTTAAACCAGAGATTATCTGACCATGGGCACGAATGCTAACCCAGAGAGCCACATGCTGCCCCCCTGGGGTAACCATGCAAACCACACACACAGGCAGCCGAGGGGGGGCTCAGACTCCCCACCCTGGGGGTGTGAGCCACCGTGCCACCTTTTAATCTAGAGTGTTTTAGTTACATATACCAATCGGTAAACAAATGAAGTTGCGAAGCCTCAATAATCTCCTGGCGAAGCTGCACCTCACGCCGCTTGCCTGGGGCTCATTATGTCATGAGGATCCCTCTTTAAAATTCAGCCCCCTGCGAGCTCTGCTGTCCCCCCCCCTGCACAGTTATGGGGAGGTCCGGCCATCTATCGATGAGATGGCTGTACTCCTGCTCCTGGAGGACTGCATCTCCATCAAGGTGCATCACGTGGTGCCTTCATGGGCAGAGATGATCTGGAGTTTGGTCTTCATCCATGGGACTACTTGGTTAGTACAGCCCCAGCTGGCAGATCTGCAGATGAGCTCAGCAAAGCTCACGAGATGTTTTTCTAAAGGCCGATTTAGTCATTATTGCTGCTTAGTATAGGAGCAGCACGTCTTACTGATGGTGCGGTTGTTTTTATTTCTGAAGAGACTGCAGTTCCCGGCTGCTGCCTCATGAAAACACTTATTTATTTACATTTATTGTACTCAATGCCTTCATTACACAGTGATGGGAAAACGTGGGTCTTCATTTTCCTTTTTTAGGCCTCTCAAAACATATTTGTGGTTTTTGTGGTTGATTATCATGACTAACATGTTTCAGAAACCCTCAAACACAATATTATATCCAGAGGTGGAGATTTCAGGTACAGAAAGTAAAAATCCAGATTTTGTTTCAACCAACCAGTTGAGTACTCTGTGATTGTGGCTCTTTATTATAATTTGGTTGGTTGGGAAAATATGCAACACAAACACACACACAACCTTGTAATTATATCTTTGTGGGGACTCTCCATTCATTTCTATGGGAAAAACCCCTACCCAGCTCTAACCTTAACCATAAGTAACCAAACAAAATATGAAACTTTTGGCATTTTTTAGTTTTTTTGATTGCATTCACAGATCTTTGTGGGGACCTGAAAAATGGTCCTCACAACGCCAAAATTGAGGGTTTTTATTACATTTTGGGGGATATATCAGTATCCATGAAAGTCACATGGATCCAAAAGGACTATGGATAAAATCTTTATCCATTTATCGGGATCTAAGACACAGAACTGCAGCCACTCAGGGGCCATTCAAACAGCAACCCTAACCCCATTCAAACAGCAACCCTAACCCAATTCAAACAGCAACCCTAACCCCATTCAAACAGCAACCCTAACCCCATTCAAACAGCAACCCTAACCCTATTCAAACAGCAACCCTAACCCTATTCAAACAGCAACCCTAACCCTATTCAAACAGCAATTCACCAAAGCAAATCCTTTGGGAAGAAATCAAAGTACCTGAAGGAAAGCCACATGAATTTCTGACTCACTCAGGCTGGTGCAGAAGTCAAACCCCACATCCCTGGAGGTGTCAGTCCACAGATCTTTCTTCTCAGGGACCACACTGCTGCATGACTTGCCTTTAGATTGCTGGATGATTATTTAAGGACCTTGAATGGAAGTACGGCGCCCTTAATCCTCCTGAGACGTGATCGTTGTTATTCCATGTCAACCACCAAGCTAGAAGCCTCACCTCTAGTAACTGTTGTCAAGGCAAGTGCAAGTTCGAATCCCAAGTGCAGGTTCAAATCCCAAGCGTACCTTTTAGTTGTATGCTTACTCTGAATCACTCCTGTAAACATCCAGCTCTATAATCATTTTCAAAGTTCATCTATAATTATGTTACAAAATAAAGTTTAACACATATGATAAAAATTGTTACCCAAACAAGAAAATGTTCATTTTTATTTAATTTGAATGCATTTTGAAGCTGGGCTTTGATCTTTAAGATGGCTATGGAGACCAGCTTTAGACTAGTGTGTAGCTCTCGCTTACTAATGGCAAATCATAAAAACTAGGGCTGTAAGCAAACAGAATCCCTCAGTACAATGAGAAAAGGACTCAACTGACAAAACTACTGGCTAGAAACCACTGAAAAGATGCTCCGCGAGTGACAGTAGCAGTATTCATGTCAGAAATATGTCTGAGGTTCCTTTTTACTGTATACAGGTGTATGATAATAATTATTCATTTCATAGTGTAAAATTTTTATCTAAGGTGACCCTTAAAAGTTGTGCAAAGGATAATACTCCATCCATCCATCAATTCATCCCTTTTCTACCACTTATCCAGGGTCTGGATGCGGGTGCAACAGTCTAAGCAGGGATGCCCAGACCTCCCTCTCACCAGCTACCTCCTCCAGCTCCTCCAGGGGATACCAAGGTGTTCCCAGGCCAGCCGACAGATAAAATTCCTCCAGCAGGTCCTGGTTCTGCTCCGGAACCTCCTTCCAGTTGGCCATGTCTGAAACACCTCCCCAGGGAGGTGCCCTGGAGGCATCCTAGATAGATGCCCAAAGTACCTCATTTGACTCCTTTCAACGTGGAGGAGCAGTGGCTCTACCTTGAGCCCCTTCCGAATGTCCAAACTCCTCACTGTATCTCTAAGGCTGAGCCCAGCCACCCTGCGGAGGAAACTCATTTCTGTCTCCTGTATCCCCAATCTCATTCTTTTCAGAATCAGAATCAGCTTTATTCGCCAAGTGTGCTGGGGCACACAAGGAATTTGCTTCCGGCTGCCCCAGCACTGAAAGCTGATTTTGATTCTTTTGGTCACTAATTAAAGCTCATGATCATAAGTAAGGGTTGGAACGTAGATCTGTTGGTAAATTGAAAGCTTTGCCTTCCACCTCAGCTCCCTCTTTACTGACAAAATGGTACAGCGTCCGCATTTCTGCTGATGATGCATCAATCCATCTCCTGATTCTTCCCTCACTCGTGAGCAAGACCCTGAGATACTTAAACTCCTCCTCTTGTGGCAGCAACTCCTCCCCCAGCAGGAGAGGGCAATTCACCCTTTTCCAGCCGATAACCATGGCCTCAGACTTCAAGGTGATGCTCATCCCAACCGCTTCACACTTGGTTGCAAACCACACCAGTGCATGCTGCAGGTCACAGTCTGATGATACAAACATCATCTGCAAAAAGCAAAGCCATGATTCGGAGGCCCCCAAACTATACCCCATCTGCCCATTGGTTACACCTAGAAATTCTGTCCATAAAAGTTATGAACAGAATCAGTGACAAAGGGCAGCCCTGGCAGAGTCCAACAACCACCGGTAACGAGTCTGACTGCTGGCAATGTGAACCAAACTCTCGTTTTGTTTATACAGGGACCTGAAGGCCCACAACAGTGGATCCCCTACCCCATACTCCTTAAGTACCCCCACAGGACCCCCCAAGGAACATGATCACATACCTTTTCCAAGCCCACAAAGCACATGTAGATTGGTTGGGCCAAAAACTCCCATGAACCCTCCAGTATCCTTGTGAGGGTGAAGAGCTGGTCTAGTATTCTGTGTACAGGACAGAATCCGCATTGTGTCTCTTGGATCCGAGGTTTAACCAATGGGCAGACCCTCCTCTCCAGTACCCAGGCATAGACCTTTCCAGGGAGGCTGAAGAGTGTGATCTCCCTGAAGTTGGAACACATCATCCAGTCCTGTTTCTTAAAGATTGGGACCACCACCCAAGTCTGCCAATCCAAAGGTACTGTCCCCGAATGGCCATGCAATGTTGAAGAGGCTTATCAACCAAGACAGCTCAACAACATGAAGAGCTTTCAAGAACTTAGGGCGAATCTCACCCACCCCCGGAGCCTTACCACCAAAGAGTTTATTTGACTACTTTAATGATCTCAGCCGTAGAGGTGGGCAAGTTCCCCTCTGAGTCTTCCAGCTCTACTTCCTCCAAGGAAGGTGTATCAGTAGGATTCAGGAGATCCGCAAAATATTCTCTCCACCGCCCGACCACATCCCCATTCGAGATGAACAGTTCACCCTCCCTGCTGTTAACAGCCTGGCTTAAGCCTTGCTTTCCCCTCCTGAGATGTTTGATACTTTTTTGACCAAACTACCCATCGAGTGAATGGTGTGTGAGTGAATGACGTGTGAGTGAATGGCATGTGTGTATGGTGTGTGAGTGAATGGAGAGTGAATGAATGATGTGTGAGTGGATGGTGTGTGAGTGAATGACGTGTGTGTATGGTGTGTGAGTGAATGAATGGTGTGTGAGTGAATAACGTGTGAGTGAATGGAATGTGTGTATGGTGTGTGAGTGAATGGAGAGTGAATGAATGATGTGTGAGTGGATGGTGTGTGACTGAATAGGGTGTGAGTGAATGGCGTGTGTGTATGGTGTGTCAGTGAATGAATGGTGTGTGAGTGAATGNGTGTGTGTATGGTGTGTCAGTGAATGAATGGTGTGTGAGTGAATGAATGGTGTGTGAGTGGATGGTGTGTGACTGAATAGGGTGTGAGTGAATGGAGTGTGTGTGAGTGAATAGCATGTGTGTGTATGATGTGTAAGTGAATAGCATGTGTGTGTATGATGCGTGAGTGAATGATGTGTGAGTGAATGGTGTGTGAGTGAATGATGTGTGAGTGAATGGAGTGTGTGGTGCGTGAGTGAATGACGTGTCAGCGAATGGAGCGTGAGTGAATGATGTGTGAGTGAATAGCATGTGTGTGTATGATGCGTGAGTGAATGGTGTGTGAGTCAATGACGTGTGAGTGAATGGAGTGTGAGTGAATTATTATAAAATGTAGAGAATAGGACAATTACACCTTTCTATGGATAGCTGTGTCCAAACTTTTGACTGTACTTGAGTGCTGCTCAAAGACTGACACACAGCAAAGTGAATGGGTGAACCGCAGGTCTCATATAAAATATTTCACGAATGCTGGGCTGCAGCAGCTGATGTCACTCACATACAGACCAAGATGAATGATTAAAAGATGCAATTACCTAATGCTTGTCACTGTACTTATAAAGGACAGACTGTCCATTACCATGATGAGAGGAACACTCTGTCAATAGATAAATGAGGCAAAGGAATGACTTAAATACTGTATGTAGTTGTACAAAATACTTGATAATTTCAGCAGTATACCTGAGTAAAGGCTTTTAAACATTAAGCATTAATTATATTAAGTAAATTTATTAGTTAGGTGGCATGGTGGGTCTGTGTAGCACTATGGGCTCACACCTCCAGCACTGAGGGTTAGGTGGCATGGTGGGTCTGTGTAGCACTACGGGCTCACACCTCCAGCACTGAGGGTTAGGTGGCATGGTGGGTCTGTGTAGCACTACGGGCTCACACCTCCAGCACTGTCGGTTAGATTCCATCTCCTGTGCATTTCCAAAGACGTGTCTCTACATTGGCCGCAGTGTGTTAATGTGCCCAGGGCACCTCCTCATCTATATGTGAAACAGGTTGCAGGCTCACCAGTGCTTATGAGACAGCGGCAGGGGTGCAGTAGCTAAAGCCGCTCCAGAGCAGCACGACACAGACACAAGTTTCAAAAGACATTACAAATAAAATGAGAAGCCTGTACTGGCTGAGGACAGTCACCATGTATCAAGGTTGCACTGTAGATGCACGGAAGTCGGTGAAATGCCTTATTCTGAAACAGGTCATGAAAAGTTGACTCAAGGATGAAGCAACGACTGCTTTCAGTTGAGCAGAGCCTCAGAATAAAAGTGCCCTTGAAACTTTAGACGTTAATGGAGAGCTTGTGCTGAACAACACAGCAAGAAAAGTGACTTTTTATAAAAGGACAAAAGTTTTTGTTCAGGGATGTGCACTGAACTGGAAAGTCCATTATGCTCTCACTCCCTTTCTAAGGCTTATTTATATGTTTATAAATAGAGATAAACATATTGCTAACTTGTACAATCCATCCATACACCCTCCAGTATGGGATCATGTGGCGGGGAGGGGGGGGGGGCACTGACACACTGATAATAATTCAGACCCCACCCGTTCTTGCCTTTGCAGAGTGAAAACCTGACTATTCTGACCATGAAAGCCTGTCTCACTGCAGCACTGTAGCACTGCAGCACTGTAGCACTGCAGCACTGCCCCAGAATCCTGCCCTCCATGTGCCACATGGCATACGAGGAATTAGCTAACTAGCAGAGCGAATATGTTATAAAACACTACAACAATAACACGGTTACAGTATTTTTTTCTATTCTGCCAACTGAACATGTCAAGCAAGTGTCAAATGCTGTATCAGTCTTCTGTATCTGCTATCAACTGTGATAAGTTGTTCCAAGTTTGTGAGGCTCTTGACATCAATGTTGAAGTGTGTCCCTGGTTGAATGACAGCAAGGACACTGAAAAATACTGTCACATATAATTTTATGTGGAAAAAAGTTTATTATAGGCCTACTCACCAAAGAACAGAATCCAAACATTCAAGGTCCTGAAAGCATAATACATTTTATTTTGAGGATCATCATGCATTAGTTGTTATATTTGCCATTTTTGTCAATCATTTACTTTTTACATAACGTTCACCATTATGTGTTAAAAATGTGCCTATTATCCACTTACACAACCTGTGCACTTCCGGGTTCTGAATGTACAGATTAACCGTCTAATGACTGCTGCATGTTAATTGTCAGTCCATACGCAGGCTCTCGGAGCCGATGTCAGGAAGCACGGACTACAGCAAAATGACACAACAGCGCTGCCGCTCATGGACAGATTATGTCAGAATTATTCTGTGTGGTGATTTTTTTTTTTTGGAAATCAAGGTCCACCCTAAATTATCTACGACAGCATGTCAATTAAAGTAAAAGATACCGAGAGCCTGCCGGAGACCAAGAGAGGCAAAGCCAAATCAGTAACTTTGGTCTGAACATTGGAGAGGTTGAGGTCTCCACCCATATAGGGGGAAACATGACTATTGAGGGGTTATATTCATCGATTTTGATTATTGGGTAGGCAAAGCCTACTACCGCAAGTAAGGAAACGACGCTCTTTATTTGTTTAATTAAACCGAAGCCGCCCAGGAAGGACACTCAGGCTTTAACCTTGCCCGGCTACTGGCATGACAACGCAAGGGGAGTGAGGATGCGCTCGAATAGCACGGTCAAAGCGTCATGTCAGCGCTCCGGCTGCTGGTACAGACGAGGATGCAGGGCGCTTATAGGCATTATTATAGCACATATCACGCGACGGTGTGAAAAACAAACACACACTTCGATCACTATTCTTACAGTTATTTCGTTATTTATTTAATATATGCTACATGATATCATCCCGATATGAAATTAGATTTTATATTAAAATGCAGTTTTATTCTATAACCGTTATTTTACATCCAGTATAACAGACATAAATATACAACTATCGCATTTTCCAGAAATTAGTTTAAAATGTCAAGCTTCCACTGTGCATCCCTCAAACAGCGCTCGAATGAGCTAGTTGGTTGTCCGATCTCCAGAACTCATGTCTAATTTAGTTCACCAACCTATTATTCGTCTTTTGCCAAAATGCTTGCAGTTATTAAATTAACACTGAGCTTTTTTTCCTGCACCAGCGCTTTTCACATTCATTATTTTGGTTGAACTAAGTATTTACTGATAAAAATTCACTGAGTGCTATCAAAATTAATTTAAATAGAAATGACTAATCGCATTGGAGCCTGCATTTGTTGTGGTCAGAGGTCAACACGATGGCACATTCTGACGGACACTGATCAACATATATATATATAATTTTTGTGTTATTGTGGGAAGCTAATCGACCCGGGACAGCCTTACCATATTCTACACAATAAACAGTACGATAATGCCTGAAACCGTAATGGACTTCAGATATACATGCTGACGATTAAGAAACACCTTTCTCTTGAACTGTGGGTGTATAATACACTTAACAGAGAGACGTGAAAATGAAGATAGGGCAACATGGATTAGGTTCTTTGCCTTTAGTCCCTCCCACCGTGCATCAAGAACTTGTATCTCCTAGCCGCAGTGTTATTTCTGTGCTGTCTCGACACTGTAATCCACCACAGACCTGGCTGAGCTTTACGCAGGACAGTCGGAGCCGAGTGTCTATTAGCGCGCACGTCTCCAGGTGAGTCCGCAGAGTCTTTTTTAGCCACGCATCATCCCGTCTCAGCACTTCAGTCTACAGGCATGTCACTGCATAGACGTATATATAAATGATCTCGTCTCTCCTGAAAGGTAAATTGCACTTTCTTTAATAACATGGGATTTAGAGAGTCCGTGGGATCATGCGTAAGACGTACGCCAAAGTGGTGATCAGCGACAGGGCACCGAGATGGTACATCATTAAGGCGGACAACGTGGTGAACGGCAGTGTTCGGGCAAAACAACGTTTGAGCTGATTGATGGTGCTTCGATGTGCAAGCGAATCGTTTTCGCACGGGACACTTCGACTGTTTCTGCCGATGTCAGTGGATGTTGACGGAGCGCAACGCAAGCCGCAGATCACATTTAAGCAGTTTACTTTCCACTTGGCACTTTGTGCACTATGTCGTTGTCCAGAAGAGCGACGTACCGCTCCCTCCCGTTTTCACACGCAATCCTCTGCCGCTGTTGCCCCTGCGTTTGCCGGAACAGTTGCATCGGTAGAACAGAAAGGTGCAGATGGAGTTGTTATTCAACTCAAGGTAAGGTATGTCAGAATTTTAAACACTTATTTCTTTAAAAAATCGGGAAATTAACATACGAAGACCAGTGGTTGAATTAATCAGGCTCTTAACTGCAAAGAAAACTCGGTTTGGTTAAATAAAACATACCTGAAATGCGTATGAAAGCCAGAATAGCCACGTTATTTATAAAAAAAAAAGTCTGAAAAATACGGACCCAAGTATTCTTTTAATAAGATGTTTTTTTCTATATAAAAATGAAATCCAATTTTACCTTGCACGCTTTGCGGCGTCCAAGCCTGTGTGTAGCTGACGCAGGCTGATCCGGCGCTGAGTCGCAGTTTCCTGTTGCTGGCCGGGATTACAGCGCACTGACGCGAACCCTGGGCTCATGGTAAAAGGAATAAAAGCCATATAAAAGATTTAGGTGCGTGGCTGTTTTGGTGTGAACGCTGCAAGTTGTGTTATCTTTCTGTTATTTATACTTTGAGAAGAAATGTAAAGTGGATATTTCTGGACATTTTAAGGAATACTTTTCAGTTGTTGTCATACGTGTGCTCTCTTTTAAATACCTTTTATTGTATTACGTGTGTGTGTGTGTGTGTATGTGTATGTGTATATGTATGCAACAATATATTATACACAAACATCAGTTATTCCATCTTATATACCACATATCCAGTACGGAAACCGCAGGGCATGCATTCAAATGTAATAATTACTGATTATTGTCAATGAGTATTTATAGTGAATATTAAACCCGAGTTTGTTTTTATTTTAATATATTATTTTATTGATAGAGTAAATCACGTGTAGCTTTTATAACAATACTTGCCTTTTCTTTTTATAAATATGTGATATGCTAAAAAGTAGCATTTGTGATATTACCAGTGATTCTCCTGGAAGGGAAATGCAGGTGGGACAAGAATTATTGTAGATGGATGTTCTTGTGCTTTTTGGTTGTTGCACAGCTGTATAAATCAATTACTCACCCATCTTCCAGTCACTTATCCAATACAGGCTTGTGGTGCAACCCAGGGCACAAGGCCAGGCCAGACTTAGCAAAGTATTTATGCAAGGAAATGTTTGTGTGCAAAAATACAGGCAGGCCAGGTTTTTGTCTGTTTTAGTTTGTTGTGGAAGCATGGAAGATGTAGGCTGTGTCAGTCATATAGCACAGGGATGGAGCTGACAGCTGGCGCGTCATGAATGTACCGTTAATGCAGTGGCTGACCTGACCAGCTGCAGGACGGAGGCTGCGTCTCACTTGTGACCTCCACAGAAACCACTGCTCTGGAGGCGGGTGGCGGCTGGATGGAGGGAGGCTGAGCTAGATGCGCCTTGTACTGGGAGCGTAGGTAGAATATGGTAGCAAACCCTGTGGATGCACTTACCCGGCCTAAACAGGAGCAAGACGATCCTATGAATAGGGGCACGAACTCATGAGCGCTTCCCCTGCTCATCCCTGCCTCGGCCCTTGGTCATCTGCTGTCATTAAGTGCACTAATCCTCTTCAATATTCCATCTTGGACATATTTAAGGTTAATTGCTCTCTGATGAGCAGAGCAGCTTTCAACTGCTCCAGTGTTTTCTGTTACCTCAGGTCTGTATTTGGTGGCAGTTTGGAGTGGAGTTCTCAGTAAGGTTCTGTTCGAGGAGGCTTGCTGCTTCCTCTTTCAGCAAATCAGCTATTAAACTCCTCATTCTGCCTTCTCACACCTGCCCTCAGAAATCCCTGCTGAAGCTCAGGTCGACATGGGACGCAAAGAGGAATCTGACGAGTGGAAGAAGAGGACCGATAACATCCAGGATGTGTTTGACTTCATGGAAGTCCTGGGATCGTAAGTGCAGGTCCTCCTCATTTCTAGCCTGTAACCCATTAGCACAGAGCTCTCAGGTCTCCTTTCCCATCACATGGAAGGGGCCACATGGTTGAGTTCACCTTAAATGAGAGTCCCGAAGGTGATGTCATACTGTAAATACAATGTCTAATCTGCATATTCTTTCACCTTTAGGTATGCAAATGATGTTTTGTAACCTCTTCTTCCAGAATCTGTCCTAAGGCACACAAACAGTATTTTACATGACGCTGAATACATTATTTGTTCATTTTAGCATTTTAAGCAGTACAGTTGTTTCAGTATGCCCATGTAAGACTGGCCTGGATGAGATGCACATTCAGTTGGTAATGTCGGCATTCGTGTTATTGGGTCGATAGTTGCTAGTCATACCAAACTCCTCTTTCTGGCAGCCTTCGCTCCTGCCAGGCCATGAGTTTGGAGATAATCCAATATTATCAGACAAAACAGGAAGTGTCCATTCTGAGCTATTAAATTGCTTGTATTATACATATGGCATTTTTGAAAATCTAAAAGAAATCACCTAATTGGTGCCCTTAAGCAGAACTTTCCCATTTAGCCAGCACGTCTCTGTCACAGCATTCCTAACTGCGAGAAAATGTGTCCAACTTAAAGCAAATCTCAACTGTGACGCAAGACAATAAGGGCCTTTGCTTTGCCAGTGACATTTTAAACCCATATTCAGGGTTATAAGCAGCTTTGATAACTTGACAGCATATCAACTGTGAATAATTAATAGGAGCCATAATTGATGAAAAAATAACTGTCAATAAGAGTGGTGATTTATTAGAAGCATTATTGTGTTCTGCTACTAGAATGTGTGTTATTTGTTTGCTACTTTCCTTAGACAGATAATAAACTGGACTGGTTCACGTAAAGCATCCTTCATCGCAGCAGTGATGTAAATTCTGGCTTGTTTTAGTGAGCGAGATCATGTGGCTCAGCTTGGCATTAAGAGTCGGCACTTTCAGCTTCCAGACGGCTCTCCATTTAGTACGACTTCTGGCTTTTATAATCAAGCCAAATTTAACAATGTTTTAACCTGTGATTGGTAATTGTGCAGATATATCACTTAAATTAATCAATGTAATTATACTAAGCTTTAAAATTTCCATAACACCATTATTTTACTTTATGCTTGATATTAAAACATCAATGAAAAAACATAAAACATATACTTGTGTATTGAATGTTTCATTTATATTGAATGTTTTCAAATAGTTTCACTATGAACATTGAACGCAGTGAGTCGGGTCCTTGTGCACAGTGGAGGAATAACAAGCTGCAGCTCCCCCTTCTGGAGGTCCCTCTTCTGCCCCCACTCCCCAAAATGATAGAACAACTAACTATTAAATATTAGTAACTATAATTTCCACAAAGTCACGGAGAAGGTGCCGGTGTATCAAAGGAGAGCAGCCACACCATAAGAAGAACAGACCGGCAAGCTTACACATTCACGTCGGTCATATGCAGCAGCCAGAAAGAGCCCAACAGAGACCTCAGTGAATAAAGGCATCGCAGTGGGCGTGACCTTAAAACATTACACTCTGATCCAGTGCATCTACAGCAATGTGCACTGAAGACATATTAAGCATAGATACCGCAGACCGCGGGCATCTTTACAGAAAGGGCCAACTTACAAAAGAATGTAAAACAAGTTCTTCATATTATAGTGTTTTTCTGGCATAAAACTCTTTGATCAGGCTCATAAAATCCATATTTATGTAGGTGACAGACTATAGATACGCATAACAGAAAATCATTGACTTAAGGAGCCAGCTCGACTGTGACTGACACATCACTACATCCCAGGAGTGGAATCGTTTGGTTTGTTAACCAATGTACTCCACCGGAGTCCCAGTTAGACCTTAAGAAGTCTGTATGCGTGGGCAGATGTTCTTTTGCACCTTGTCTGACCTCAGATTCCAGACCAGCACTATGTTCTACTTAATGCTCTTGGGTATGAGCTGTAAGCAGCTAAGAAATCTACCTACGCGCTGCCTCCAGTGAGACTAGAGCTGCAGATGCTGCTGGATATTCTGGCCAGGCACAAGATGCTAATCTACTCCAACGTCATCCAGATGCTGGGCATTTTCACAGGGGAGCGGGCGATTATTAAGCTGGGTTAGAAGGGAGTTACATTTATTGGGGGGCTTTTGGATTGCAAAGTTCATAACTGATGACATGCAGTGGTGTGTTCAAGCTGTGATGACACAACGGCACCAGTACTTGAAGGGAATGCATTAGCGCTACCATTTGGGTGGAGTTACGTTGCATTAATTTCCTTAGAATTCATTTGGATCCTTTATTTAGAGCCGCCTCAGGTGTCCAAGCATGATGTTAAGCAGCATGGACATAACTTATTAGTAAACAATAAGTATGTCACCAAACCCAAGCAGAGTATTAGACAACAGCATTACATCCTATTGCAGGTTCAGGTCTCCCAAGGCGACATGCTTGGGTTTGTGAATGAGAAGACGCTTGACCTTCCTGCCCTGAGGTGGCCGGGGGGGGGGGGGGGGGGGGTGATGGAGGGGGGGGAAGTTCAGTCGTGGAGGCAGGTTTGCTGATTTTTTTGTTTTTTTAATTGCTCTGGTCATAGGGAATATACGGATACCTAGGGGCATTGCAGATGGACAGATTATCAGTTACTACGAGAGATCGTTTGGCTGGTGTGTAGTCTGCTGCGTGTGTGTGTGTTTTTGTGTGGGTTATGTATATATTACTGTACCTTGTGGGGACCAGATGTCCCCACAATGTGATTAAAAAAATCTGTTGTTTTGATGTGACCATTTTTTCAGTCCCCAGGGGGGGAATTTTGATTTTATAAAAAATCTGAGACTGCAGTCAAAAAAGTAAAAATGCAAAAAGGCTTGTATTTTGTGTATGTGTTACCATAATGACAGAGAAATGATCCATGGATGTGGTTTTCTACAGCATTCTCATTAAGATTGATTAGAATAATACATTTTTATTTATCTAGCACCATGTCAGTGATTTTAGAAGCGTGAAAAAAACATCGAGGAAATAATCTGGCGAAAACTATAAGATGATGAAGAGTGAACGAGCAAACATCTTCCCGCAGTAAGCGAGCCTTGTGTTTCAGCCATTGCCTGTTTGTTTGCCGTGTCTCACGGAGTTCCAGAGAGACACTGACTCATGGGGTCTGAAGCCACTGGTTCCTGGAACGTACATAACATTGTCAGCCCACTGCCCAGTCAGCCCAGGTGTCCTTGGAGGTCTGTAACTTTCTGGTACAGCTGAATGGGCTCTTTTTTTCAGGAATAGGATCCACGTAAGAGTGGATCTTTGCACATCCTGTATCTCAGAACCAGGTCACTGCATGGAGAATGTACAGACATAGTACAGATTCAGGTCCCCGTGAAGAGCTACTTTTCTATAGTTTACTTTAAGAAAAATCTCAAATATCGTCTCAGGTACTTTCAATTCCTTCAGGAAGTTAACGAGTGCCATGGGACCAGATGATTGCAACAGCAATGCCAAAAAAAGTGGATGTGCGCTTGTCCCAGGTGGTTGTGGGCTCTCTGCCCCTCCATATGGAGGCGCAGAGATGTCCTGAGTGGCTGAGGCTGATCTTCAGGCTCCCAGCCTCAGCGAGTATCAGCTGCCTTCATTTTACAGGTCACTGGTCACACAGGGACCCGTGTCAAATGGGAAGCAGCCCGTCCAGGAAGGCTGGGAAACAGCCAGTCACCTGTGAATTAGCAGTGTAAATGCAGTGTTTCACACCCAGGGTAGAGGGATGAATGCAGCTTGTTTTGTTTTAGATCAGTGGTCACATGGCGTACTGAGTACATTATAAAACTCTACCCTCACCATGGGGTTATCGAAATCAGGATCAGGATCTGCCTCCCTAACGGTGTTCAGGTGCAGTCTAATGAATTAATGTACTTACAGTTCCTGCATGTCAGGTGGCTTTAACAGAGATCGTTCTGTGGAAGTATATTCGTCTGCCTATTTAGAGACTGATCCACTTATGCATTTAGCTGCTGAGCCAAAGGCTGTTCCCCATGTCGATGTACATCCTGCACAGCACAGAGAACAGCACGGACACTTAGGCTGTCTAATCTGCCCGAGAGCACGTCATTTTCAAACTGCCCCCCTGAGGCTAGACCTCGGCAACCACGAACAAACATGACGACCTCAACATGCATTTAGTGAGCATATTTAGATACTGACTGAAGTGTTTAAGCCAAGAAGTGGAAACTTTATTAAAACACATTTGGTGTAGTAATCTAAACTGATTCAGGTCTTTTCCCCACCATGAACGTGCATATCAAGTGGCCAGTTTATGATTAACCCTTTCAGTACTGTGGTGCCAATGTGGCATGTTTATGTCATGATAATTAAACAGACAGACGGATGCCTGGAGATTCAGAGGAAGAACAGGTAAGAGGAAGAGTTTAAGTGAATTTGGGCAATATGGAGTAGTTGGCGAACCTTACACACCAGTCAGAGTGTTACAGAAATACAGCTTTGCTGGGGCTTCCGTGCACAGCAGGCCTGGGTATGCTGAGGATGGTTTGCTGCTAAGAGACCTGCCTACCTGACAGCAGGCCTGGGTATGCGGAGGATTTTTCACTGCTGAGAGACCTGCCTACCTGACAGCAGGTCTGGAATCACACGCAGGGTGCTGATCGCAGAGGCCCGTCAAGGCTTGGATGGCTGGTGCAGAGTAACTGAAAGCCACTGACTGAGATGTACTACTCCTTCTTCCTTATGGTACATGGGGTGCAGCAAACTGATTAACTGTGTTCCAGTTACCAAAACAAAAAGTACATCTAGTACAGGCTAAGATGGGGGGAGGGGTGGTTTAACATCACTTGGTCTAGTCAGTCCTGATTGTGTCACAGTTATGGGATGCCAGGATACTGAGAAAGCATATGAATCCAGGGACCCGTCGGACTGGTGTCATTGGTCTGAAGCAAGTGTCACGTGTTGAGTCTCCCGATATGAATGAAGGAGCAGTTGAACATCTCTGGGGACATAATAATAATTCATTATTATTATTATTATTATTATTATTATTATTGGCCAGCAACTGTCTTGATATAGTTCAACATTGACTATGGTATGTTTCACAGTAATGAATGATAACTCCTCTGTAGTAATATCTCTGAATTTAAGTGCCAGTTTTCACATACATACCCGTATCCTCTTGGCCACACAAAGAAATCGCCCTGCCAGGATCACAATAGGAAGACCTTGGTGTTTAATAGAACAGTTACACTGTTACCATAGGAATATATTTATAACCAGTTTATTTCATTTGTGAATTATTTTCAAGGGCAAAAAGTATCTATGACATTTATGAAGTCTGCATTCATTCTGAGATTATTGTCATCCTGCAGTATCCAGCAGCATATGCTGTGTCTGCAGGTGCAGCGGGCAGCTGTAACAGGCCCGGCTCGCTCTGCACGGCGTGTTCATCTGTACGCTGCTTGTCAGATTTAGAGCAGAATGTTAAATACAGCCTCCCACCCCCAAGCTTAAATGGGACTAAAACCAATATATCTAAGGCATCTGTTTCTCCCGTGAAAGAGTCCTAGGTGATTATGTCAAATGAAGGTTATCTAGTCGAACTAACAATGTAGGGTAATGAAAGGCACCCATACGGAAATCTGCCTTTCTGGAATAATCCTTATGCCTGTGATTCAAACATTCTGTGTATTGTATGCATTTTTACAGAAGTAACCAAGGTAGTCGTAAATGTCATGTCTAACGTTTCACCCTGCTTATACCAGTCGATTATTACTGCACTGATATCTTTTAGGGACGTGTCCCAGTCATTTGCCCTTCATGTCAATTCTGGTTGGGTTGGTTTTTTATGATTCTATGCCTCAGTTTCCATTATTTATGGGATTATAGCGATGATAAGCCCCAGTTAGCATAGCTTTTAGCTGAGGGTGGTGTACACACAGAGTATGGTGCTATATATACACAGAGCAAAGCCACACTGTCCCTCTTGGGATTTTTATGTGGGGTTTAGTTTTACACTTTCTACCCTTTTCACAGTTCAGCATTGTTATGTTATTGCTCTGCATGGCTCTATATGGGATAAGCTGCCGGAAATTGGATGGGAGGCAATTTTTATATGAAATACCTACTGCTGCTAAGTCTTCATAAATATATTCAACCTTGTAAATAATAACTGGGTATAATATAGGTCACATGTTATATTTGTTCAAAAAATGCTACAAAAAGGCTTCTGTTTTTTTATATTAAAATAATACTGCATTTAAACAGTTTAAAGAGTGATTTTAAATCATGTGACTATAAGACTGTCTCAAGGAAAGTCAGTAGAACCAGCATAATTCTCTCTCTCTCATGTGATGGGGCTGTTGAAGTGAAGCAGTTCAGTTAGTCAATGGGCTGCGAAATGATCCCTCACAGAGCTGGTTACCTCGCTTAATGTTTAAGGGATTCTTTCATTTGGATTCAGGCCTGCAGCCCTGCATGTGTGACTGTAGAGCTGAATTCTCAGCTGGCCTGTGTATCTGCCTGTCCGCGTGACTGTAGAGCTGAATTCTCAGCTGGCCTGTGTATCTGCCTGTCCACATAGGGGCGCTTTCTCTGAGGTGTTCATGGTGAAGGAGAGAAAGACAGGCAAGCACTTTGCCCTGAAGTGTGTGAAGAAGAAGCCAAAGAGGGACAACATCCTCGAGAATGAGATTGCTGTCTTACGGAGGTAATGAGGCCATTTTTGCTAGTTTGCCATTAAAATGATTCCTGATACATTTTTAATGAAATTTCAAATTGTGTTGTTGTTCCACATAGAAGTATTATTAGGTACTAATTAAGTGCTATTGAGATTCAATCATTGAATTATTCTGTCAGAGAGGCCACACCAATTAATTCGTATGAGAATATGCTGTTATATACAGCGCCCTCCACAATTATTGGCACCCCTTGTAAAGATTTGTAAAAAGGGTTAGAACAAATCCACCTTTTGGTGAATCAGCTTCATGTCACACTGAAAAATTGAGACAAATCCAACCTTTCATTAACATAAATTTATTTCAAGAAAAAAATATCTTTCATCAAGAAATATTGTCACCCCTGGAAATTATAGTGAACACAATGTAACTGAAGCATGTTTCCCCTGTAAATTGTACATCTTTGAGCTGATTGGAGTGAATAGGAACCTTCAAGCTGTAATCCATGACTTCCTGGTTAACAGGGATACGAACATGAGGTGACACAGAGCCCTAATTCCCTAAGTCATCCATCAACATGGGAAAGATAAGAGAACATACAAACCAAATGATGGAGAAGTGTGTTGACCTTCATAAGTCAGGGACGGGTGATAAAAAATAGCTACTTGCCTTAAAATGCCCATTTCTACTGTTAGGGCAATAATAAAAAAATGGACAACAACTGGAACTGTTACAAACCTGCCTGGAAGAGGACCCAAGTTTATTTTCCCCCCACATACAGTGAGGAGGATCATAAGAGAGGCAAAAACATCCCCAAGGATGACTGTTGGTGAATTACAAGACCAAGTAAAATCTTGGGGTTACCACGTCTCTGAAAAACTATCAGATGCCCCCATCATGCTAACAGATCATTCGGAAGGTATGGCAGGAAATGTTTTTTTTTTTGTCAGTTAACCACAAACATAAGCACCTGGAGTTTGTGAAACACTGCAACTTTGACTGGAACTAAAGTCCATGGTCTGATGAAACAAAAATGGAGCTTTTTGGCAATAAACATAAGGTGGGTTTGGCGTAAAAAGAAGGATGGCTATAATGAAATGAACCTTATCCCAAATGCAAAATATGGTGGAGGTTCTGTGATGATGTGGGGCTGTTTTTCCTTCAAAGGCCCTGGAAACCTCGTTAGGGTACATGGCATTATGGACTCCATGAAATACCATTTTAAATTAAAATTTGGCTGCCTTTGCCAGGAAACAAAAACTGAGCCGTCATTGGATCTTCCAGCTGGACAGGGATCCTAATCAACACAAAGTGGTTAGCTGACCACAGAATCAAGCTTCTGCCATGGCCATCTCAGTCCCATGACCTGAACCCCACTGAAAACCTGTGGGCTGAGCTGAAGAGGAGAGTGCAGAAGAGAGGGCCTCGGACCCTGGGTGATCTGGAGAGATTCTGTACAGAGGAATGGACTCAGATGCCCTGCTCTGTATTCTCCAACCTTATAAAATGTTATAGGAGAAGAGTCAGTGCTGTTATACTGGCAAAGGGAGGTTATACCAAGTATTAAAAGCAGGGGTGTCGATAATTGTGGCACATGTGTTTTTGTTAAAGATAATTATTTCTTGATGAAGGATATTTTTTCTTGGAATAAATTTATGTTAATGAAAGGTTGGATTTTTCTCAATTTTTCAGTTTGACATGACGCTGCTTCACCAAAAAGTGGATTTTTTTCTAACCCCTTTTACAGTAATTGTGGAGGGCGCTGTATATTTTTCAATATACTTGTATGTGTTTTAAAGACAGAGTATCACTCTGTCAGTCAGGATAGTGATCATAGCTATGTCATGGTGATAGGGGAACAGGCAGCTATTTTATTGGGGGGCAGCAATAGCCTATGAGAATGTTTGATACTGGGGGGGGGCACAACTTAATAATTTAAAAAAAAAAAATTGAAAGGTCTGCTTTTTGGGGGGGTGGTGAATGAATTCAAATTACATATTGGGGGACATATACATCCCCCCGCCCCCCCATGTTCCTTTGCCCCTAGGGGTCTGGTCCTCTTGTTTCGGTGGCAGGATTAAAAGAAAACCATTGGATTTGAGCTTTGCAGGCACCATCTCAGATAAAGGGAAGATGCCAGAGGTCAAAGGTTAAATGTGCGCCGCTTTCATTTTCCTGCAGTAGTGTTTAGCTGCAGTTCTGCTGCAGAGGTTCGTGTCTGAGCGTCGCTGCCTGTTTCTCTTCCAGAATCAAGCATGAGAACGTGGTGGGTCTGGAGGGCATCTACGAGAGCCGCTCTCACTACTACCTGCTCATGCAGCTGTGAGTGCTGAGCTTCAGCTGAGTTACTTAATACATTTAGATCTGGATTCCTGCCAGTTTACGCAGAACATCTCTCGGGGGTTTGCACTAGATTTTGGGTGGTCACATTAATGTAAAACTGGATCATTGTAGAGTTTGAGGGCAAATATATCAAGCCGGGCACTTGACATCTGTTTGAGTTTTGAGGGGGACTGAGTTTAGGATGGCCTGCAGGGGGCACTGTGCATGTTGATTGCCTTTTCGCCCTCAGAGTCTCTGGTGGCGAGCTGTTTGACCGCATCCTGGAGCGCGGCGTCTATACAGAAAAGGATGCCAGCCTGGTGATCCGGCAGGTGCTACAGGCAGTCAGCTATCTCCACAAGAACGGCATCGTGCACCGTGACTTGAAGGTGCTCCCTTGCAACTGTAGACACGTGCACAGCTAGAACCAACATGTGAGGGTTTAAGTCAGGGCAGCTTGTTGCCATGGATACCTCATAGAACGAGCATTGTTAATGATCAGGGCCATGTGTGTGTCTGCTCACCGCCAGTGGCTTCCTCTGAAATAACAAGAAAATCTGGTTTAAAAACAGCCTCATACCAAGGGGCAGAGTGAAAGGTACCTGAAAAGGATACAGACTTACAGCCAATGGCTGTCAGCTCAGATTGCAGCTCTTGTCCCATCACACAAGGCGCTTCAATCCAAACAATATAAAGGACATCCAAGTTCTGTCTTGGCATCTCCTGAGCCTTTAATGTAATGGAAAGGACTGAAACTGCAGACTGGCCTCTCGCTGTCCCTGCAGCCAGAGAACCTGCTGTATTACAACACAGATGAGAACTCCAAGATCATGATCAGTGACTTTGGCCTGTCCAAGATGGAAGACAACGGTATCATGTCTACTGCCTGTGGGACACCAGGATACGTGGGTATGGAGTGCAACTGGAATGAGTGGGAGGTGAAGGGAGATCACTGAAGCTGGAGTAGACCCTGTAAGCGTAGCCTGTTTGGGTTAATCTGTGTCTGCTTATTTTGCTTAATAGCGAAATTGATGGTGATTGAAGGCTTCAAATCTCATGAAAAAAATTACACTTAAGAGTAAATGCAAGATGCATAACATACATGGTCAATAAATCATATAATAACTGCTAAGAGAGTAACTTAGAGAAAAACAATTCATATATGATCATATATCCAGTAAAATAAATTGGTAAGAATTGCAGGTTACTTTGGATATTGGCTATACAGATAATTCCATAACCAATCCGCTTGTTTTGCTACCCGTAGCCCCTGAGGTTCTGGCTCAGAAACCCTATAGCAAGGCTGTGGACTGCTGGTCCATTGGCGTCATCACCTACATTCTGTGAGTACGGCATGTGGAAGAGGCAGGCGCAGAGCTGGGAGTATCAGTGGTGCAGTGAACAGCGGAGATGGAAAGTTCTGGTTCAGAAAGTACAATCCCATACAAGATTTTGTTTCAACCAACCAGCTGAGTATAAAGAGTCACATTCACAGAGTACTCAACTGGTTGTTTGAAACAAAATCTTGGTCTGGATTTGTACTTTCTGAACCTGAACTTTCTACCTCCGGGGAACAGCAAACGTGCTTCGTATTAAACTGGGGTTAATCTGTGGCAGGTGTTCATGGGAAACAGGCAGCCCCCACAGTCTGAATACAAATGATATGTGTAAACATAACACTGTTCAGCTGGTTTGCATCCTGCTATCTGTAGTGACGGCCAAACGAAGCTTTAAGAACCATTTGCTATATTTTCTGACCCCACTTGATGGTACTCTGTTCAAAAAAAGGATTAAAAACATGCCCCCAAAGCAAACCAAGAGCACCACCTAGTGGGGTTAAAAAATACAGCAAATGGTTCATGAGCCTATACACTAATACAAGATTTCTGTACATGTTTGCTACATTTTTTGAAAGAGTAAAATATTACTATAACTGTATTGTAACATTTGGTGTCGCTCTTTATTGTGTAATGAATTATTTATTTATTTATATTTATTTTTTGCTATTTAGTTCAGTCACTGTTTCTACTTTATTTTTTATTCTTTATTTCTGTTCAATTCTTTCACACCCCGCTGCAGGCTGTGTGGGTACCCCCCCTTCTATGAAGACACAGAGACCCGGCTCTTCTCCAAAATTATGAAGGCGCAGTACGAGTTTGACTCGCCCTTCTGGGATAACATCTCTGACTCCGGTAAGTGTTCTGCACCCCCATCAGCCGTTTGTGGCAGCTCCCCCCACAAGCTGGGCATACAGGGTTCCTGGCAGTCACAAGAAAGATAGTTTGTATCTATTATGTAAATTTTGTCTTATGTGATGTAGAGACATTGGCAGGTGTTAAAGGGCCAGTTCATCCCAAAACTGAAGAGGCTTTACGTGTTATCTATCCATCTAACATTCTTTCTGTGATGATTAAAGTGCCAGAACAACAATGTCTCTGGGATAACATCTCTAACAATGACCTGGTTACTCAAGATAATCAACAGACTGTAATGAGCAATTTAATGTAGGAACTATTTTCTTCTACCAAACTCCACACAACAGGCTTTTTTGGTGCTTTAATCACCACAGATTGAATGCCATTCAGTCCCATTATATTTGTGAGAAGACCGACAGCTGATATTGCCAAAACTAGGCAAGTCCCAACAGAACAACCGAGATGTATAGGTAGCATTAAAGCCCCACCAGATCTTTTTCAGTTTTGGGGTGAACTGCCTCTTTCAGGCTGAGAAACCTGGGGACAGTGCAGTTGCTGATTGCTGGCCTGTTATTTCTCTTTGCCAGCAAAGGACTTCATCCGAAACATGATGCAGAAGAACCCCAAGATGCGTTACACCCCAGAGCAGGCCCTCCGACACCTGTGGTAAGTCCCCGCAATGACGACGGGATCAGACACGTCCATCAGCGGCACGGAGTGGGACACGCAGATGCTGCATTGTCAGAATGACTGATAGGTCCTTCACCCTTCCCTGGGTGGTATAATACGCTGATCTTTCAATGTGATACATCCCTCCAGTCTTCACTCAGCATTACACCAGCATGAAGTAGGGTGGTGGTCTTCAGCCTAATCTTGTTTTGAGTGACCCATGTCTTTTCCTGCCCGCCTCCCTCCCTAGGATTACAGGGGAAACGGCCCGCACCCAGGACATTTACCAGTCCGTCAGCCAGCAGATCCAGAAGAATTTCGCTAAGTCCAAGTGGAAGGTGAGGGGCAGGCTTTGACACCGTAAGCTGACAGTATATATCCCTACATAACCCTACTGCTGCTATGGTGACATACCTTTGACAGTAAAACACTACTGCCCAGCTCCCAACTAGACGAAAACACCCTACCGTCAAACAGCCTTCCTGCTTTCTTTCCCAGCGGAGAACTTCCTGAACGTGTCTGGAAAATGTTGTGTGGCCCCTGTGTGTTGCAGCAAGCCTTCAATGCCACCGTGGCCATTAACCACCTGAAGAAGCTGCACCTGGCCCACTGTGAGGCCCTCGCCGCCAGCGCTCAAGCCCTCGAGCAAGTCCCTGACGTTGAGATAGTGGATCTGTCATCTCCTGAGGAGACCCAGCGGGACCTGGAAGTCGAGGACCTGGAACCTGGACCGGACAGCCACACAGCGCTTCCTCTGGGGCCCAAAGAGACCAAAGAGCATTGCTATGCACTGAGGAGCAGCCACAGTGAACCGGGCCGTAGCCTTAGCGTCGTCGGGAAGGACCGGCACATCTATCGGTCTGAGCCCACCAGCCTCAACGGGGCACCCTGCCAGTGCGTAGAGAAGATAAGCGCCATTAAGCTGACTCTTCACCTTTGTTAATTACTGTTTCTGTGGATCCGTATATATATAGCATTGTTTTGAGGTCTCACTGCTGGTGATTGGTTGGCTCACAACGCGTTTCCCATTTCAGCTACAGCACCATGACCATTGGAACCCATGACACCATGCAGTCACTGCAGACTGGCGTGTGCTCTGTCATGTGATCACGGCGGTATGAGCAGGACAGAGCAAGAGTAAGTGGGTTGATCAGGCATCCCTGCACATAAACACACACACAAACGCATGTCTGTATGCATAGTAGAGCACTTACCCACACAGACAGACTTAAATATTGTTATACTAGCATGTAGAAATTAATGGATGTCAACACATAATTACCCATAAAAATACTGAACATTCCAGACTGAGCAAGACAAACACGAGCCAAATAAATAGTTTGTTCTCTTTTCTCATTGAGATTCTTATAGGATGTGTATCCCCAAGGTGTCTGTAAACAGTTAGTGTCTTTCGATCTTACGTAATGCAGTTTTTATACACAAAAGGCAAGAAAGGCCCCCAGACATGATTTGATTATAGCCTTAGTTAGTTTGACCCAGACAGAGCTCTTACGGACGTGCAGCCTTAGAAAAAGCCCATTAGCTACAACAGAACTCCAGCTAAATCAGTATTCAATGAACACAATACCTTTAGCGATTTCCCATGAAGATCCACCAAATGTTCTGTCTAGTGCAGAGAGCTGCACAATAAAGCCTGTCTCGCGATCAGATATTTATCTCTATTGAAGACACAGAGAGATCTGACCTCACCTTTTCCTTTGCCTCCAGGTTGGATGGCTTTTGTGCTGAAAACTCAGCTTGACGGTGGTTCAGCTTGGCCAGACCTGCCCAGATGCATGTTTGTACGGATGTAGGTCACTCTGACTGACTGAGTGTATCCAACACGAAGCCCAAGCAGAATCACTCTGAAAGTAAAGCAATGCAGAGTGCCTGGAAAAACTAAAACAAACACATATGTATACAATGTCATCACATAGGTGTTCTGTGTTCCGTATGTTCGAAACGGGCCGCAAACTCACTATTGTAAGTGGCTAGTCTTGACTTTATCGCTTTGAATGACGACGTGTGTTTGAGCGCTGTGTCCGTTGCTCTGTGACTGAACATTTGTAAAGGACTGTGCAGGAAGGATGGGTTGCGGTTAAAAGTCCGGCTGGTGGCATCACCGTGGACCAGGTGTGCTTTCAGCCGTGGGATGTTGAAGGACTCCCATTGGACCATACTGGCAGAGCCAGGGTAACGCCTCACTTCTTAGCACTCCTCCCGGGGCATCCTGGAAGGCGGGCACAGTTTCCTAAGCGTGTGCTGTACTATAAGCCGTGCTCATGAGGGCGTAGTTGAGCTGTCATTTAGAAGGGGACAGAAACCCTGTGGTGGGGGGGAAGTAGAGCGCACTGGAGGTCAGTTCTGCCATCTCAATGGAGGATTTCTTGCAGAGGTGTAGTGTCTTGTTGTTTGGGGTGATTTTTGTACCTTTCTTTGCAAAAGCACACATTTCCAGAGCGTATGGAATGATGCTGCTCTTGAGCCTCGCCGATAGCTCGCCTGAACGTGCCAATGCTCATTATATCAGGATGGGGGGGGGGGGGTCACTCTTATATATTACATATGAATGTCTATGACTGTAATCTGGTGTGTAATCTGCTATGGAGATATAATTATTCAGTTAGTTCTGCTATTGTCACAGACGGAATACAGAGTACAAGCTTTTGTTGTGTAAATACAAAAATATGCTGTCTTTGCTTTTGGTAACCATCCCGAATAAAGCCCGGTGTGTACGCCATGGCGGGCTCTTCCTGTCACAGGTGATTTCGGGGCTGAGGGTTCTTCTTTTGGAAGCAGACCTCAGTCCTCAGCTTATGTATGTACCCCACACTCACTTCCCCGTAAGCTGCTGTTACGGTCAAAGCTAAGTGGACAGGCCGTCTACCTGCTGATGAAACGCTCGCTAATAATCCTATTAAATCTACTGACGAGATCTGTACGTTGCACATAATGAGACAAATCATTATGCAGTGCAGGTTGGATGGACTGCGAAGGACTTCATAAATTGCCCAGACTAGGAACTTGATGCAGTTCTGCGCTGAATGACATCACAACTTAAAAAACGGCTGTAGTATATTATAGGGCTGGATGATGTGTGATATTACAGTTTTTTTCAATCGCTAACAAGTGCTTACCCATACTTCAGATACTTTTTCCAAACACTTAACACAGACTCACACCTACAAAACACAATTGGCCAAATGGTTAATTTTCTTCTCAAAAACACATTTTGTTAAACATATACTAGCACTTCATTTCAAAATACAATACACCTTTCTCTGCACACACTAACTTTACCAAAACACTGGAAATCTGACTCAAAATGAAATTATTCTGTCAAACAATAACGCATGTTTTCAGTTCACAAGGTACATGCAGTCAATCAAAGTGCACCAGGTTTCAAAATACTGGCAATCTTTGGCATTACAAAAACTACATAGACTTTGTTTCAGTTTTACAGGTAACTGCATGCAAGACATGCAATTCACCGTTTTTACACTATATTTTTGGTTGGGAACTGTATGTCCACATCTAATGTTCACATTCTAAATCATTCCAGGAAAAAGCAAATCAGTTTTTTTTTTCCTTTACTGTGTACAAGTTTTACTGTATTGCTTACAGTGAACAAAATATTCATGAAACATACAAGAGCAAACACACAAAATACACTGAGCG